CACATATTATATTCTCTTCAATATTCGTCGGTTGGTTATGTTAGAGAGCGTATATGTACAGATTCACCGCTGTTATAAAAGCGAAAAATGTTATTTGTTTTTCGTGCATCTGTGGTGAACTCCTTGATAAATTCCTACAAATTTTTCGCTGTCGAACCTGCACCTTCTCATTGTTTTAAGTTCTCTGCATGAACCTTCTCTATCATATACGTTCTCTGTAATAATTCCCGTGCACGAGCAGAAAACATAGAATAAAAATAAGTTATTCTACGTTCTCTGCGACTTGCTGGAAAGAAACTATTTTGTGACACCTACCGGATATATTTAAAAGAACGTTTTTTTGTCACAGTTTGGCAGTACTAATAAACAGCTGGATAGTGAACGTATATCCAGAGAACGTATATCATATTTTTATTTACGTTCTCTGTTTATATGTGTATATATTAGTTCTCTGCTGAGAATACTTTATTTTGATAACTTTTATACATAAACAAAATTAAGTACAAAAATGGATAAATTAACAATGATTAGTGCTACTTTGTTTCTTGCCGCCGACGTCTTTGCAATAGTCAGTTTGGCGATGCCTGACTGGATTGTAACCGAAGAAGCTGGTAAGTGGATGTAGAATTAAAAATGGGAAAATATCAAATATATGGTAATTGTACTTTAGGTGATATCCGTCTAGGATTAATGTGGACTTGTATGACGCTATATAACCGGTCACAAGTATGCTATACACCTGAACTGCAGCCAGAGTGGTTAGTAGCTCTAGTCTGCATATTCATAGGTTGTATTTGTATTACCACTACTGTAATACTTTTGGCATCCAGCAGTTGGGATCGGAATGTTATACCATATGCCCGTTGGGTCGGATTTACGGCTATGGTTTTATTCTGCTTAGCTGCGGTAGTTCTTCCATTAGGTTTCCATGTGGAAGAGATCGGTGGACAAGCTTATCAACTTCCTAATACTTACAAAATTGGCATTTCATATATTTTGTTTGTATTAGCTCTATGGATAACAGTGGTATCTGAGTTGTTTGCAGGAAAAGTATGTTTGCCGCATTTTTAATAAATATAGGTGAAAAAAAGTTGATGAGAAGGAGAAAATTGTTCTGGGTCTCTATTCATCCTTAAGGGGATCATCCTGTGTGACGCTCGTTTTTTTTTGGAGTTTTTTTATAGTGAAATGAAAAAACAATTTTGTTAATTGCGTAATTTATCGCTCCATTGGCACCCATATTAAAAAAAGTAGACAAACGGCGTCTATGATTAAAGCAGACTGGCTTACCTAAAATCAAAAACACAAATTGCATGTAAATCTGTTGGTAGATGGCTATCGACGAAACTAGAAACTGTTCAATATTTTTCAAAAATCCTAGTTCGGGCGATAGCCAAGTGTATTATGTGTCGACCAATAAAATTTTAAAGCTATCGATGGAATCGTTTTTGAGAAATCGTTGACGCCAGTTTAAAAAATGTAGTCCCGAGAAAAATAAAAAAAAAAGATAGAAACGGCCCTAACAGTCGGCCATGCGCTTTAAAAACCTTACTTTCTCACTCCTGTAGCTTTTTAACTACATTAAATTTCGGAAAATTACTTTACAAGCACATTCTATGAATGCTCTAGATTGGATTTATGCAAAAAAAAATCGCTTTTTCGAAACTTGTAGACGGGATGACCCCTTAATTTAATTCGTACCCAGTCGTGATATTTTAGGTTTAAGGAGATAGTTTATCGTGTTTATACTATTTCTTAAGTATTAATTCTTATTTTATTTCATGTGCAATGCACCGTTTGTAAATTTAATTTAATCAGATTTTTCTTACAAATTTTCTATTACCGATGAGATAGATTTACTAAGTGTCTGTTATTATTTTACTAAAATTAAATAATAAAGAGAGATTGTTACAAAAACGAATAATTTTGAGCAAATGTTTTCACCTATCAAAGATTGCTCATATAAGTACTTTTGAAAAATGCTTGTATGTATACATACTGTTGAAAAAGTTAATTTTATAGTTAGCACTAGTAATGGAATATTGCTATTGATTAGGTACGTATAAAGTTTAATTATATATTTACCGAAAATGCTTAAATCTATATACTAAACGTCTCTTTTTTAAACTATTGCTGTGCAATGAAATAAAACACAATATTTTCAATTTTCTATATATTTCATTAAAATAAATGATTTTTATTTTACTTTTCAATGTAATATAAGAAAATAATATTTTTTTAAGACTCAGACTTACAGTGATGTTTAGATAATGCAGGGACAAATATTTTGTAATAATTAGTGTTCTTCCACAATTAACTTTGCAACTAATTAAATATATAGTTTTAAACAAAATACTATTATTTATCTCTCTCTTGATTATCAACTATAGTGTCAAATGGCGAAAATGTACAATTTGGAAAAATTTTAAATTTATGAAAACATAATTTAATAAAAATCGAACTGCGTAAAGTAATAACAAACAATTTATTGTTTTTTTGGTTCTTCCCGCATATGTAAAAATAATTGTAATATAAGTGATTTTTATAATCTTTCCCTTATAGGGGAAACATTTTCTGTATACAATGATATTTTTACATTACTTAGATGCTGAGATCTTTGAATTTCTTTGTGCAAATAAGGTGAGAATGTAATTGAACTTTTTTGAATTCTTGAAAGGAGTTTTTAATTATAATATGCCGTTTCAAACCAAAACTAATTTTGTATCAAAATAATCACAAAACTTCACACAAAAGTTTATTTGTTTATTTAAAACTTTTGGACATTATAGTTTGAGTAGAGTTCTCTTTTCTATCTTGTATAATATACCTTTATCTTAAACATATTGGGTGTGTATGAAAAATTAGAGTATTTCAAAAATACGAGTATAACAATATCTATTACTGTTAGCATAAATATTTATAAATTTTTAACTTATTTAACTTTATTATAAATCTTTTAATTTAGTTTTATTAGTTAGTACTTTCACTTTTTTGTAACATGTTCCATGCATCTTTAACCAGTTCGCTGTGTGTTTTATTGGTTTGTTTCTCCTCCTACTCTGCCCTCGTTTTATTTATATTGCTCCTACAATTTTCCATCGAATTGTGTCTTAACAAAATAAGTGACTAGATTGCCCTTTCCTTTGACATAAGTGAGACCACGGCACTCGCACTCATAACCAGCAGCCATAAGAACTTTTGCTGTATTCTCTGTCGTCTGTGCAATAAAACCAAGCGAATGAAATAAGAAAATAATTTATATAATATACTAGTTTTATTAGTTAAATGTGTTGAAATTTCTATGTAATAAATATATGTATGTATATTTCAAAGTCAAGAATAGATGTTATTGCTTTACTGATTTCGCTTTATTTATATAATAAAACAGTTATAGAATATAGTACCACATATTACCTGAAGTCTCCCCATTACGCCACAGGAGTCCATGCGGGAGGCCACATTCACAGTATTGCTCCAGATGTCATATTGGGGCTTTTGCGCGCCGATAACTCCTGCAATCACCGGTCCATGGTTAAGACCAATGCGTAATCGGAATCTTTGAAATGATTCACGATTAATTGAATCCAATATTGACATTAAAGCAATGGCAAATTCCACAAGAATGGTGACATTGTGCTCTTCAGTGTGCTTTTCATCCTGCCAAAGCAGAAATTGCGATCGGATATAAATAAAAATATATTGATAGCTTTGCATTACACAAAACAATAGAAAAACTTAACTACAGAATATATACATACATATAATGTAGCAGACAACATAATAACAGATAACAATAATATAACAGTTCAGCCCCAGCTTCGACAAAAATAACAGTTTTCTACACTAATCTACTCACAATAAAAATCACTTGTTTTCCAAAGTTCTGACTAACTCTAAAAGATAAGCTGGCTTACTGATACAAAGTATAAGTTTTTTTTTTCTTTTTTTTTCTTTTGTAATATGCTAATTATTAATTATTGTGGAAAACTTAATAGTATTGTGTAGCTACTAAAAGTTCCATACAATTATAGAACATTATTTATGCATTAAGAATTTGCGGCAAGAAACTTACGGCTAAATTACGCATCCGCTGCAGAAAGCATATAGGAAAAACAGAATTGTAATGATTTATGAGTCTAAACATGTAATCCGTTTAGGTAACGCGTCATAACTTAAAATGTGATTTCAATTATTTTTAAGCTGAGATTCTTTCTTACCATAGCACCATCTTCCTTTCCTGGCCGTAGACCAGATGCACACATATATGTGCTTGCAATAGTCTTGATTTTTTCGATTCCACTAAACTTAGGTTTCAGAAGCAACTGAAAATAATAGAAGAGAAAAGTTGTGTCTCTTCTTAATGACAATCGATCCTTACTATTTTTAATATAGATAATAAATCACATTAACATGTACCTTATCAAAGTCACATATAATTTCATTGAGTAGTCGCAAACATTCAAGGCCTTGCTTATTAACATCAGTTTCATCATAAAATTCTTTATAATTTGGTATAGAAGCAAACATCACAGCTACACAAGAATAGCTCTCGTGATATAACTCAGTGGATCGCTCCTGATGAAGGAAATGTGTGGCTACGTGAGCGGGTAAAATATTTTCTAAAAGAATCTGAAACGCATTCGATAATAGAGCGCATTTTGTTTAACCTTTACATATAGCTCACTTACTTTATTGATTCCACGCATTGTTTCCACTTCTTCTTGTTCCACTTTTAATTTTGCTTTCCACAGAAAATCTGTGCGAGCCACATATTCACCTTGTCGATCGAGAGTATGCAGCACCGCAACCACCAATAACAATAATAGGAACCCTTTTAAGTCTATAGGTAAACTAAAACAAAGACACATTTGTATTATATAATTGCTTACTTAATTATAGCAATTTTAGCTATTAACATAAAATTCTGTCAACTTACGCGTTCAGTTGTTGGCGATTATATATTGCATAGAGATCACTAAAGCTCAGCATGACCATCTGACAGATGAGTGCCGCAACCATGGTAATTAGTTTAAGAATAAAGCCGGAACGCAAAAAAGCAGATATCGCCGCAAGGCTGATAGCGGAGCAGAACAAATAAATTGGTGCATTTTCTATTTGATTTAAGTTATACGCATTCTCTTGTAGATTAGTATACATAACACCTGACACAGACGTATCATTGGGTGTCAACATGGATGAGGTGTTAACATTACTTTCTACATTTATCGACTCAAGCTCAAGATTCTCGTTATTTACAAAGTTTATCTACCAATTAAAATTTAAAGTTATTACTATAATTTTCTGGTCATTAAAACACTTATGTGTAAGTAAATATATTATATAATTATTTTCCATGGGGATTACTTACCACATTAAAAACTGCTGTTGCTGATATTAGTATATTTACTATAATGAAAATAGCTAGCCGAATATAACGACTACTTGCCACCACTTGACCCGGTCCATTGCGGTCTGTTGTTGATGCATTGACTTCGGGCACCTGTATATTGCTTAGGTATAGGAAAAGTGCAAGTGATATAAAGCTAGCACTCAGAGAGCCAATCAAAGCAAAATTTCTGCAATTTAAATTACACACATTATTTTTAATTTTGCATTAAATATGCAATGAAACTAACTTCTCAAACGCGATTAGTTGAATTAATGCAATCGAGAGGTAAAGAACAAATGCGCAAATTAAATCGAAACGAAAATGTGTATCTGGTTGCGCACGATACATGGCCTCACGTGGAGAGTTGCGATACCACAATGTAAACGGCTTCAATTCCGTAGGGGGTCCGAACAAATTGAAATTGAAGCATTTACGTTCCGGTGGCAGCAGATTGGATTCTATCATAGCAATGCTCTGTAAATAAAAAATAAAAAATTAATAGCGCTCGCTTAAACATTGGACGAATAAAAACAATGAAGCAAACTGCTGCTCTTTTATTTTAATTGTTGCCTTTTTCCAGTTTGTATAAACAACTTAGCACCGATATATTTCGGCAATCACACTTACCGCAAGTCCTATGTTTTTAACCAGTTTCGATTCTGCAATGTTGGCAAACGGTTTATCTGCACCCCAACACTCCACGTATTTAGTCATTTTGGACGACGGGCGATTACGATTAAAATTGCCTGAAATTAGCAAAAGTTGTCATGCATATGCAATAAGTAAAATTAGAAACAATTATTAAAAAAATTGGCGTTGTCAGACACATTTAATGATTGAGCCAAAAATTAAGCTTTTTTCTATAACTAACCGCTGTACCATATGTTTAGTATCTTGGTAAAACGCATATTTAATGTGAATGTAAATGATCTAAATACATCCAACCTGTGCTGTAATAAACGGCTAAGTTTCCTTGTTTACAAATTATTTGTCAGTAAATGTTTAGTCAAGGCTTGGGAAATATTCACAAAAGCAATTAAGTCATTTCACAAATACACTGGAATTTAATACCTTTGTATATCGATTCGTTATATCTCATTTGAACCTCCAAAACCAAAACGTATTTCTATAACAGCTAATGCTAAATATCCCTACACTATTTTCAACTCTAAACGCAAAAATTGATTGAAGGATTGACTACTAAAAACTAACACATGAACAACTCTTTGTAACCTGCAAAAAAAATATAATAATTTTTAGAAGCAAAACAAAGTTGGTCTGTAGTTAGTTAGACTTTAATTTGAAATGTAAAAAAAACGTTCAGTAAGTGTCTAAATAAATTTCAAAATGCAACATAGATATGTATTTCATTACATAAGACTTTTGCTTACCGCTGTGACTGCGAAAACTTTCACCGCTGTGTATAGACAATTTGCGACCATCTGTAAAGGCGCCCGAGGAGCGCCTTCTGTCCGCAAAAGAGATCAGACCTGCAAAATAATACAATGTATCCTTTAATACATGCGATATTCGGCTCTGATGAATTATTCAAAATATTTAAAAAAGGTTTTGGGTAATTTTCAATATTTCTAACAAACAATAATATTTTGTTCTTAAGTTTTTTGTTTACAACTACCTTGTACGGAAAGTTTTCGTCGTATCTTTTCTGGTCCATCAGTAACCATTAAACTGTTAGTTAATATTGATGAAAGCGCCGTTGAGTTTGTTAAAGCGTTGCAATTTGCGTTGACAGCTATATTGTCGTCAACTTCCAATATACCATTATTGTTTGTACTTCCACTAATCACATTTTCGTTTGGCAATGACAAAGATGACTTAGATTCTACAGTTTGACTTTCATTTAATATTGCCTGCATGTTTGTAGATCCATATTTATTATTTTCTTCCGAGTTAGATAATTGCATCATTGCATCCTCTTCCTCTTCCTCTGATAGTTCTTTGATAGACATCGATTTGGTCATAATTGGATCTTGGCTGTTTGTAGATGAAGGCGAGAGTTTTCCACGTTCTATTGGAAAAATGCCGCCACAAATATTGCTAATACCTAGTGTAGAAATCGTATCTTCATGATTAGGAGTTTTTTGCTCACAAGACAATGCTATGTTCACATTTGAGAAACTAGTGAAGGCAGGGTTTGGTAAGAGACGTTCCGTGACATCACATTCATTGGGTTGAGTCTCTGAGGAAGTCGTGATTTCGATCACTTGTGGTACACTATGGTGATAAATAATTTTCTGTAATAAAAATAATATTTACAATTTAATTAATAAGAAGTTTATAAACAAATTGCGTTTAACAATAAATAAATTCAATATATTTAATAATTATTAAAAATTGAAATAAGTTATTGGGTTGCAGAGCAATTCGATTCGTTCATATATAGAAAACTGTTAATGTGAAAATAGCAAATTTTATATTGTTCGTATACTTCAATGGCAGTTACAACCGCTTAAGTGCTATACCTAATCGAAGTTTAGAAGCACAAATGTTATCTGTCCCATACCTTTGGCGGCACAATGAGGTATGTTTCGATTTTGTGATCTGCCAAATAGCTATCCCGACTGGCACCATTTCCCTCTTCAATTTCGAATTTGTCACCGAGAAAATCAAGAGTTTGTTTGGTGATGTGAACTCGGCTGCAAAACAAAAAGTAAGATAAAAAGGTTACTGTCGGTTGCTCATACGCAGGGTTGATCGTTAGATTAACTTAATTTGACTTGTGTCTTTTGTTATATGTATACATATATATCAATATACATACCCCGCTACGCCGCCACTTTCCATATGGTTTGCCAGTGTAACATCATCACTCCAAACATCAAATTGCCATTTGCGTAAGCCAAGGACACCACAAAGCACATTGCCAGTATGTATGCCTATACGCATGTCAACATTAATTCCGGTTGCCTCACGTACATGTCTGGTGGTATTAATTGATAATATAAACAATTAGAGGCTGTCCTAACCCCAATCTGTAAACAATACTGCTCAAAATGCAATAAAATGAATGTGAAGATTGAAAATCTTTTCAGATTTGAAGTTTGTCTTATATGAAAGAATTTTGGTTTTTCTATAGGTAGACCCGCTTGAATTACACTAAAACTTAGAATTCCCACGTTAGCGAAACTGTTAATAATTTTTTGCAAAATTGTGTTGTTTTATTGTGTTGACCTTATTAAAAAATCCAATTTCTATCAACTCTGTTTAAAGTGAAAGTTTGCAATTTATACAAATATTGTTTTATATCTTTTGCATTTGCGTAGGTCAAACATGAATTTCAAACACAAAGTAACATATAAACATAATATGCAATCTATTCGCTTTTGGTTCAATTTTACTCTTTTTTGACCACAATCTACGCTCGTTCAGGAGTAACGCATTCGAGTAATGAATACCACAAATACGCCTAGGTCACGTACAAAATCATGGATATACGAGTATACACATATTCTTGTTCACATACACGTGTACATTTGTTAAGCCCATGCACGTAAGTACATACTACATATGGTATATACCCTAACCGAAAAACAGCAAACGCCTTTACACAGTACAAGTATAACATCCGATATGTGCAAGTATGCATACATGTATTTTATACAAATACAGGTTGGTTAAAAAGTGTCTGCGCTCTAAATGAAAATATACTGTTTTTGATACGAATTATATTTTTTTATTCCATATAATCTCCCTTAATTTCAATACACTTATTCCAATGATCCTCCAATATTTTAATGCCAGCCCTATAATGACTTTCTGGAAGCTCTGCAAAATACCCGTCTGCGGCTGTAATATCTTCTTTATTCGACGAAAAACGCTTTCCACGAAGAAATTGTTTCAGTTTTCTGAAGAGGTAGTAGTTGCTGGGAGCCAAATCTGGTGAATACGTTGGATGCACAAGTAATTCGTACTTTAATTCGTTGAATTTTTTGATTGTTAAACCACCTTTGTGAGCGGGTGCATTGTGTTGATGAAAAATGATTTTTTTGCGCTGCAAACCAGGTCTTTTCTCACGATTTTTTTCAGCCAGCTGATACAAAAGGATGCAATAATATTCAGAGTTGATTGTTATTCCTTTCTGTAGATAATCAATCAATAAAGTTCCTTTTGCATCCCAAACAACTGATAACTTTCTTTGCTGATCGTTGTGACTTCATCTGCTTTGGAGCTGAACAACCAGCTTCTGTCCCTTGTAAACGTTCTTATGTCAATTGAGAATCATGGTGGTAGATCCAAGCCTCACCCATAGTTATAAAACGACGCAAGAAGTCGGTTTTATGCTGCTTACAACGCTCCAAAATATGCTGAGAAATTTGTTTTCGATCCAGTTTTTGTTGAATTGTGAATGTGTGCTGCACTAACTTTCCAAACAATATGCTATGGCAATAGCAATTTCATGCTTAGTCAAACTTGGATCTTCACAAACAATATTATGAACTTGCTCAATGATTTATGGTGTGTTTTTGGTCGTCCTTCGCGTGGATCGTCTTCAAGCCTTGTACGACCACGTTTTAGTTCACCAGCCCAAAACTCAACAGTGCGTTTTGAAGATGAGGACTCTTTATACACTTCTAACAATTGTTCATAAATTTCCTTTGCTTTTAAATCTATCAAAACAACTAATCTAATCACTGCGCGATATAAAATATTTTCCATATTCAAAAAAAACATTCAGACACGTCAACTTCAAATAACTTGTAAACAAAGAATTAACTGACAGAATGACTTGTAACTTTGTTCCCACGACGGATCTACACACTTGAGAAAATCAAATTTGGAGCTAGTAGTGCTATTTCTTGGTGAGACCAGCCAACTTTTCAATCAACCTGTATATACATGGTGTACATAAGTGAAAAGCAGGATTTAAGTAAAAATATACTAAGTTAACTTGTTAAAAATTAAATACTTCGCTGTAAAAGTAAAGATTAATGTGTATTTTAACAGCTAGCATAACGCTTCTATTTTACTCATTGTTTCACAACTATATGTACAAATGTTATCGATTTTGTTATATGTCGAGTGATTACTTCTATCATATTCGAAAACTTGTCCTATCGATATTGCAGTCGTAGAAAAAAAAACTGTAAAACCAATCGGAATTTGAGTTGTTACAGAAAATAGTTGCTGTTCTGTTGAGAAAGAATTTAACAGTTTTGCTGTCAAATTAACAAATTTTCTGTCAAATTAAATTTATGCTATTTAGTTAAATTTATTAACAGTCGTGATTACTATTTAGCCAGATATTTGTGTTAATTAATAACGAACGCGTTGGTTGTTTTGTCACATATTTATGTTAAGATATCGTTCAATCTGTTAATAAAACTGCAAAATTACTCTTGATTTAAAAGTAATTGCAGTTTAATTAATATTCAAAATTTTATTATACACATAAGGGCTGTTAATATAACTGTTGTAATTTCACTGAGCACACATGCATATGTAAGTATGGATGAGCATACACCCATCAAGTAAGGAGCACCACACACTCACCTTATAGCATCGATCATTTGTAAACCCATGTTTACACAATTGGCAGCGTGTTGCGGCCTTGATATGGGCAGTCCAGATACACAGTAGTAACAGTCACCGAGAATTTTAATACGCAGACACTGATTCTCCTACGAATGTAAAAGGTAATTCTGCATGTTTGTATGTCTCAATAAATTTAATGTTACAAAATTAGCAAAATACAGTTAGTTAAAATAGAAGTTTGGTATCTCTTTAAATTACTTATTAAATTCTAAAAAAAAATTGTCGTAAATTAAGAGCATTTTTAACTAAATCATGTCATGTAAAATTTCAGTATTTTCGTGCATATTTTTAGATCCAAGTACTTTGTTAACCTTATAAAATTTAACTCAATGATTGGATAATTAAGATATGTACTTGTATATATGTATTATGTAACATAAAATTGTATGTGTACCAAAGTTTTATATATGTATAAATATATAATATTGTGCTGACTTAATAATACATATATATGTATATACGATAAAGTTTATACTAACCCCTGCAATTTGGTCGAAGCGTCCAAAAAGGTCATTCAGTGTTTTTACTAAATCACTGGCAGAAAGTTGCTCTGATAATGGAGTGAAGTTCACAATATCTGCATACAAAATTGATACATTGTTGTGACGCTGCACGTGCAATTCATGAAAACGTGTAGCAGATGTGGTAGATGGCCCTCCCGCGCGTTGACAAGCATCCGCCATTTTCAGCATGATACTACGCTTCACCTGTTGATGCGATATTTGAGATAAGAATTTTTCAATGAAGTACGCGTATATAGACACTTAAAAAAACGGCGCTAGACCAGTTTAGTTATTGCAAAGTAGTGAAGTGTGGATATTTTCATTGTTTTCTAAAGAACACTTTCTTTGTTTTATGTTATATAATATTAAATACTAAACTTATATCAAATACCTAAATAGATACATACATCCATACATACACACAATATGTCAAATTGTAAGTATTGCATATTTTATGCATATATATACATATGTAAGATAACGTATATTCATTCACTTACTTCAGCCGCTATGTAGGCGGGTATGACGCTAAGCAGCAGTTGCTCTTGTTGTTCTCGTTCGCACTCCAGCTTCACGCGTTGTTCTATACCCGTGCGTGTGCCATCCACCGTTCGATTGTGTGCCGCATCTGACATTATGCGATAATAGAGGCCGGAAATGGATGCCGAAGCTAATATGATAACTTCTCCAAATAACTGCAATGAAAATTTTCAGTTATAGCTGTTAGTTACAAATGTCATCCATAGCAGATATGATTATGTGTTAATAAATAAACTAACTAATAAAAATATTAACTTTTGCAACTTGCATTTAAGAAACCTTGTTGTTTTTAGTAAAAAAAATTAAATTTAAAAAATAGAACAAATTATTATTACTTACGAAGGGCAAGCTGGCTGCGTAATCCTTGCTGGTCACAATGCGATATATGACATGGAACGCCGACATGAAAAGCGCCAACACCAAAGAAACTGGCCAGGATATTGGCAGCATTGTATGTATACCCTGTAGATTTAAGTAAATAAATAATAAAATATAAATCATATAAAAGTAAAACTACTAGTAAAATCCGGCTACGCGTTGCTGTGGCTAAGATATATATATTATAATAAACTAGTCAATACAGTGAAAATATTATTTACGAATTAATGCGAGGACGTTATTGCCGGTATAAGAATCCAAGCGATTGTACTTGAAGTTTCATTTTAAAAATGATTCATACAAAAATTTGTGAATTCAAAAAATAATGATTCATTTGGCATTTTAATGGAAATTTATTGCTGCTGTTTAGAAATATATTTCTTTAATTTATGTATGAATTGTTTTAATGTTAACATAATTATGATATATACTATCTAATCTTTTAAGTTGGAACAAACTGGACCAAAGTGCTAAATTTTACTAAAATCGGTTCAGTAGTTTAGGAGTTAAACATGGAGAAAACGTGACACGTAATTTTTATATATGTATATATATAAGTAGATATGAGGTCGTTCATTTCTTCGAAACGATTCAATAAATGTGAGGTATTATCATTATTAAAAATTTTTAATGATTACAAATATGTAGATATGTACATACACACAATATATTAAAATCGAATAATATAAGAAAAACAATTTCGAAGAAATAACAAATGATCTTATAAAATATATAATTATAAAACACTTACTAGAAAAACGGCAAATAACGGTATTGGCGCCAATCTTTCTCCCGTAATAGCTGCTATTGTGCCCAGCGAAAAAGTCGTCACAATTGCAAACGCCAATGCCGCCGCCGGTGAGCTGAGCACCGCTGGAAATTGTAGCGCTGTCAATATGCCCGCGGATATTGTGGCCGCCAAAGATAGTAGACATATTAGTGTTAAGCTCTGCAAAATCAACGGTAAATCGGTATAACAAATCAGTCAGTTCCCTTTATATTTTATAGATTTGTGGAGAAATTTTTAATTTGTTAGAGGAACACTTACTTGTTCATATATGACACCAACAATTATGGAAACTATACATGCGACCAGTGATATCAGTAGGCCCGATGTAAAGAGCGACTTGCGCAGTCGTTGACGATATCGAGTGTACAAATCGTCCAAATGAATATTTTCGGCTAATATAATAGGTAAAGAGAGAAAATATTTTATTGCATAGCTTAAAATAAAAACAAATTGTATATCTATGCATGTACATATTTTTTTTTGAAAACTTATTTAATAAATAACTTGTTATGTAGTAAATTCATATGCCAAAACCTGGGCTTAAATTTGCATTTTTACGACCTTTATTCACGCTAGTCACTTTTAAGGCGATACTTTTGACAGCGCAACTTGACATTCATAGACTATTCATGCATGGGGCTTATCTTTGAATTGATTGCTTCCTGCGTCTCTATTTTTGTTACTTTATGCTAAGAATAATAGGCAAAGCTTAAGTACCTCATTTTCTTTACTTATTTTCATCTCACACCTATATCTGTATGTAGCATATAAAAAAAAGGTTTTTGGAATTGTACGCTCCTTAACATTGTAAAGGATGTTAGTCATTTGGAAGATATGTATTAGATTTATTTATTTATCATATATTAATTATTTAAGTTTATGTTAGCAGATTTATTGAAAATAATTATTTTGTAAATTTTTCTTGTAATATAAGGTGCATAATTCTTTGTAATACAAAATTTGGAATAAACGCCAGCTCGCTAAAAGCGATTTAAAATAATTTTTTATTTTTTATTTCCGAACCTCTTAGTTTTGTGTACCACACATTATAAACAAAATTCGCTTTACATATTGTGTTTAGTCTTTTTAGTTTAGTATTTACAGAAAAAGCAGATAGCATGTGCAGCACCTGGCTCTACAACACCCATCTCTTAATTTAAAAAATTGTACTAATTAATAGTTTAGATCACCTCTGCGTGTTGTCATGCTTAAGAAGCTCCTAAAGTGTGAGATATATCCAAACCTGAGCAAAAGTCAAGCATGTAAGTTGTTGTCCTGAGAGACATTTTAGCAAATTTAGCAAAAATAAATAATAGCCAATAGAAAAATGCAAAGCATTAATCACTGAAATTTATGTATATACTATACATCATACAACATAAATTAACAGCACAGGTAAAACATGTTTATTTATTAAATTTATGTAAGTTTCGTCATTAAAATTTGTATTCGTCATTGCGTATACGCAACAGCGGCTTGTATCGTAAAATTGTTCGAAAGATAAAAATGTAATAAACGTTTGACTACTGTTATTGCACACATATATTTTAGTCGTGACCAAGCCAAGCGAAAAGCACTCACTGATTTATATTTCAGAACAAAATTGCTAACATAAAGGCCAAAGATTGTGTAGAGAAAAGGTACGACCACATTTGGCTATGCGACACCAAGCTGCGCGAAAAAAATTTTATATTTAATATACATAGCATGGCGCAGCGTAAACAAAATTAAATTTAAGTCCCTTGCATAGTATAATAATTTTTGATTTTGTCGAGGTGCGTTATACCCACATAATACCGCTTATTCGTTTGTTAGAATGGGTTTTTTAGTACCAAAAAGAAGTGATATCATCCATATCTAAACAACTAACATAATAACTATACTGATATCCTATAATGCCAGCAGTTTTAAAGTTATCGAACGTTTTAAGAAAATTAAGTAAACTTGGCACCTGTTGCACAATTTAATTTGTCACCTAAAACAAACAAAATCGGTTCACTGATTTCATACGCAACATTTTTTTATAATTTGTAAAACCTTTGATATATCCCACACGACTTTCATTTTAAACAATTGCTATGGATAAAGCCCATCCTACCCACACAAAAATACATATACAAGTATACACCTATACAAACAATATACTCGCATCATAGTAAATTTGAAATTCAATCACAATGTACGGTGAAGGTAAATGAAGATACAACAATATTAAAGTGAATGGCGACGTAAAGCATCAACAATTTTCTCGCATGCAGTGTATTCATTTAATATTGAATGAAAAGTGACGTGGTGAGCTCAACGGCATACTACTTGTATAATTACATTGCCTTCTTCATGGTAAGGGTTAGGTGTTGGAAAATAGTAATCCATCCAATAATAAAAAAGTAATCACTGCATACTCTGAAATCAATAATTGAATTATTAATGTCAGGCTATCTACTTATATTTCGAAATTTCTAGCAGATGTAAAAGTTGGCAAAAACAAAATTTTATTTTCTTTTCTACATCATATAAGCAAAGTATTACTATATCCTAGCCTAAGTTAGAAAGATATCAAAAAGCGTAATAAAACTTTATCCTTTTACATGTATTCACTTCATATTTTCTTAATTAAAGCTGGCTTGTCAAACGTAAGACTTAAATTGGCTCTTGTTAGTCACAACCAGTGTTGTAATAGATAAGAGCTCTAAAAACCAAATTAAAAAGTTAATTGAATTATGTTTGTAAGTGTTTAGGGAAACTAGAAAATGGTACTTGTATGTGGGTAGGTTGGTGAAGGGTTGTCCTACTTTTTAATGTTTAATTTAAAACGATTTTCCAGTTAAATAACTTTTAGCTTGTAATTTATTTTATATATTCTAAGCTTTATAAACATTTTCACCCATATTCAATCTTATTCGATTTGTTTTAAAACAGCTTCTGTAGATATGTACATACATATAATCAATAAGGACTCCAATTCATATTTAATTTATTTAAAAAATTAATTGTATTTCTTTTTTACTTTAGATGAAGCTCTAATAGGTATGATAATCCGGACTCAAATATACTTATAAGAACAAAATATACCGAATGATGACTCGAACTAATTTCTGTGTAGATTAATATTGGAAATGGTAGGATATGTTGGGAATACACACAGAAGTTTTTAAAAGCTTTTAGAGTGTACATTTACTTATATACGAGTACACACTTATACTCATATATATTTTAGAACATAAAATGCTATGCATTTTTATTGAAATTATTCACACATAAGCAGAATTAATTAACGCAACTGGTATATCATTTGTTTATATGTTCATACACATTTGTAATATTATATATTTTTCTACCTACAAGTGGCACTGAGTACAACAGTTTCGTTGCTGTTGTTTGCAAGTACATATGTATGTACAAAAACTGGTAAAAATTTAGATATTTCAACCAGACTAATTTAAGATGCCTCCCTGATTGATTTTCTGATGTCAGTTCGATTTATTTCATGTATATCGGTGGATAGTATAATTGATGAAAGAAAACCATACCTCTGCTTAACTCTAGCACAATTTAGCACGAAAAATTGTACGAAATAATTCTCGAATCGCCTTTTTTTTAACTTGCGGGAATGCCAGCTCGAAAAGTTATTGACGAATCGGTCTGAAAATTTGTGTGAATATCCTTCCTTCAAGTCCGTAAAATATGAACCAACTTTGGAATGAGATTATTAAGGAAAATATAATTTTTTATGTAAGAAATGTGAAAAAAATTATATAAAAATATAACATTTTGTTCAAATACCACCAAAACATTTATTATTCAACTCTTTTGGCCAGAGTTTGGTTCATATTCTTAGAAAATATGTTACTAACGAGAGAAAAAAAGTAAATGATTTCGATCGTCAATGGACACCACCCTCTAACTCCACCACTTCCGGCGGAAATGGCATCGAAAAATTTAAAAGTGTAGTTAAAAATAGGAATAAACTACCCTGCAAGTTTAAACGAATTCTAAGTATTCTTTCTCAGTTAAAAAAAAATCACAAAAAACACTCGAAAATCGGCCTCGTAAACTGATTTCCCCTTTAAGGGGTTACATGGTTTCGTCGAGCAAAAAACGCAATATTTTCAATAATTTTTTTTTTCATATAAAAAATTAAATATTTTATTCAAACTTTTTATTATTCCAAAGATACATATTTGATAAAGATTTTGTGAAATTTTCAAAGGAAAATATTCAAAACTCGGTCATTACGACGTCATGAATATTTTCCTTTGAAACTTCTGACAGGATCATCAAAAGTAAAAAGAAAAAAATACCTGTTTGAACTAAGACCATTAACTAGGTATTGGATGGAGAAAAAACAAATAAAGAAAAACAAACTATATTTTTGGCAGACGTTTAAAAAAAAAAAACGCAAATTTTGGTGAAAATTTCCCGACGTTTTTTTGTTTTAAATAATTGAAATTGAAAGAAGATAATTGTAATTGAATTCAAGTTCTTGTAAAGGATATCTTGAAGACCTATGTAAAACTATATTATGATCGGTTGAGTGGTTCGCGATAAATCTTGACAACCGACTGAAAACATTAGAATAACGAAAATCAATATAGGTGGTATTTGGGAGTTGGGGTATTCGTAGACTAAATTCGCATATTTTCGGCATCAAACTGTAGTTATACATTGTATATGTTATATATGATATAATATATTTTTGTAAATAAATTGAACTATAGTATATTAAATCTTATACGTTTGATTAATTTTGCTAAGATATCTTACATATTGACTGATATATATGGCATAAGGCCAAACCGAAGTTTGAAAATTTTAAATTAGGTATATTCGAGATTGGGGTAATATTGACCCGATTTTTGTATTTTTGGCAATACAACACAATATTAACAGAATAAAATACTCCCTGAGTTTCATAAAGGTACCTCACATACCATCGCCAACATATGTGGCGTAAAATCAACCGGATGTTTGAAAATTTTGTGGTTTGTTATATGAGGGCTAAGGTAAATTTTCACCCGATTTTACTCATTTTAGGCACAAAAATGTAGCATTATAAAGAATACATTTTGGCAACGCTTCCTTTAAAACCCCCCTGTGTCATCCCGGACGTAAAATGCAATGTCTCGTACGCATTTTGTTATTGATTTATTGCACTTTTAGTAGTTTTTAACAAAATCATTAAATGGGGAGTGGGCGGGGTTGTCATTCGATTTCACTTAATTTTACACTATTGTAGGAAGGGTCGAAAAGATTTGTTCTGTGCAAATATCGGACATATGGCTCGGTTTGGGAGATACATACATAAAACCTATTAGGCTTTTAAATGATTTTTAAACCACGGGTGCCCTTTATTAAGTTTGCCATGAAGCTTGTAACACCCAGAAGAAAACCTACGAGATGTATAAAATATATGCGTATATGATCAGCTGAGCTAATTTAGCCATGTCCGTCTGTCCGCCCGTCCGCCCGTCCGTCTATATATATGCGAACTAGTCCCTCAGTTTTTAAGCTATCGATCTGAAGTTTTGCACCTGTCCTTTTCTCACTAGGAAGCTGCTCATATAGCATATAGCTGTCATACAAATTGAACGATTGTTAACGTTTTTCTTGTTTTTGCTCAAGTTACAGCTTGCACGGACGGACGCATGGACAGACAGACATGCACCCGAATTGCGACTCATCTTGTTATCCCGATCATTTATACTCGTTTATGTATAACTCTATATCCCTCTCGATTAGTTTTAGGTGATACGTACAATCGTTAGGGAAATAAAACTATTATATTCTGTAGCAACATGTTCCATGAGTATAAAAATGTACTATTTACATTAAATAATCGTTCGGTGCAGGGTCTTTTGAGGGAAGGGTTTATAGAGCTAAATATGTCTAGAATATATGTGCATGGCTTAAATTTTCACTTCAACTGACAATTGATTGACCAATTCAGTTTTTACTCACCCGTAGTACCATCTTCACTATCTGGCATTAGTCGTGCTTTGTTTGGGGCACGTGACGATGACAGAGATGATGTGTTGGAAATATTGACACATTTAGCACCGCCTTTGATGCCATTTTCATTTTTAAGAGTATCCGCTTTGAGTGTAGCCATTGTGTGACGTAATGAGACTCATTGAAGGCGTTATAATTTGGAAAATATTTTTTTTTTATAAATATGTTAATATCCAATCTAAAAATAGTAAAACAAAACAGTTTTTGTAGAATTTTAAAGAAATTAATTTATATTTATATCTAAAGATACACAAACTTAAAAGAAAAATTCTGTACACATTTGCTTATTAAAACATTGGTTAATGTCATGCTACAATATTAAAAGTTATATTTGAACTTTTTACAAGAAACTGCTTCTAATAACTGTTTTAGAAACAAAAATATAATAAATTGGCTAAAGGGTTGTAAGTAGCTATTCTAATTTGCCTAAAACGGTTTTGAATCAGGACAATGAACAATTTTGCATGAAGCACAATGATTGGTATTTAACTTTCTTCGCAGAAATACATACATTGGAAGAGGTTTCTACGTTGTATAATGTGGTATCTCGGACAACAACCGTAATCAGATAAATGATACCGAATATGTAAAGATATATTTTTATCACTACAAAATCCTTTTAATTCTGAGAAGCATTTAGAAATATTTAAAATAGTTTTTAACTGCGAAATTTTGCCAGAATATCGACTACAGCCATCTGATCAAATTTGACCCGATATGACAAAAACATTTTCACGTATTTTAATGCAAATAAATCTCAACTTCAAAATAGTCCACTTTGGACTAATACAAGCTTCATACAATTATCTTTACACTCGTTATAAGCATCGGTTGGGGTAACCTTCTGTGCCTTCAGTGATTGACTGTTAATGACTTCAAGTGACTCATGACGCTTTTCCCGAAAAGAGTTTTTCAGTTTCTCAAACAGAAAAAAGTCACAGGGCGCCAAATATTTCTGATACGATGGCTGAAATCTCGTTGCCAGTTTGGCCAAAGAGTCAGTCACAATTATGCTAGAATGTGATAGCTCATTCCGTTCTTTTGGTATGAGTCTAACATTGGCGCCCAAAAAATTTATTTGTTCTGTTATCTCTCTGATGCCAACACGAGGATTTCCAAGCACTCTTTGACTTTTTCAAAGTTATCGTTATAAACAGAGGTGAATGTACGAGTCGTGTGCAGCAAGTTTGCGATGAATTCACGAGCTTTAGTGATTGCTTTGTGCTACTCAAATACTTGTATTCGTGATAAAGTAGTCTCCCTAAAACCCTTTTGCTGCATTTTAAATAATTGCGTAGACGTGATGCCATTGGAAACACAAAACTTCAAGCAAACTCGTTGTGTAATTTTTTTTTCCATGGTAAAAATTGTCGAACACTTTTTGCGTCGTAAACAAACATTTGTCAAACACACACACTATTTAACATATGGAGATCAAACTTCACACGCACAAGCGCGCAGTTTAAATGGACCAGTCCGAGTCAAATTTGATCAGACGCTGTTCAGCTGTTCATATATACAAATGCAAACATAAAAATCTTTCGCTTATACGTATCTGTATGTATATATATAATAGTATGTGGACTTGTATATTTTGAATTATTCAGTTTGAGATCTTATGATGAGCTTTACGTTCGTTATTGATTCTAATCTGGTTTGCGTATTGGCCTTTGCACAAAAGTTTGACATTTCGACAATATTTAAATTCTTACGAATAACACTGAATAATGTTTCCACGTGTAACACAATATAAAGTACATGTACAGTGGGTTAAATGTCATTTGGAGAACATACACCATAAGGAAAAATGGATTTGTAAATTTCTACATACATATATAAAATTTTATGTTTAAAGGTGGTATTTTATTCATTTATTGTCACATTAACTTGCTTTCAAACTACATTTGATGTTAAAAATTATTATAATTTAGTTATTTTCAGTAATTATTTATTCGTTAAGTACTCTAATAAATGGTTGTGCATACCTTAATAATTTTTACTTTTGTTATATTATCTTTATTCAAAAAATATTCTTCTATATTATTATATTTGGTTATTTTGAATAGGTTGGGATTTTAACTCAGTCATGTTCGCTGTGATGGCAAAAATTTCTGAAAACGAGTTAAGCCATCAAACATCGAATACACGTCCTGGAAAAAATACTGTTAATGCGAGGAAATTAAAAAGTGACTTGAGGTCGAATCCGCATTCAAATGTAGAAAAAATTTACACGGCTGTGAGAGCTTTTTTTTGATAAAATAGAGACTAGTATTATTATTACTCTTGCGATAATAATTAGGCATGTACTCAACCAAATCGAAAGTACCTTGAGCTGTGATTGATTGCGTATACGCAGGGTATGACAATATTGATGAATATTGAATAAAGTTTAGTTTTTAAATAAATAAAAAATTGTTTGAGCACTTTTTGTTATTGAATATTAATGCCGTCAGTTAAAATTTTTATTGTTATGACTAGTCTCATTTACAAACTTCCATGTTCATTCGGCTCAACGCCTGCTAAAGAAAAAGGCTGAGTTGAAACTGTTCAGACCGACACAAAATAAAAAAGAAAAAATTTAACCACGCTTATAATCACAAGTACAATTCCTAATAACAAATATTTCATACAAATTATCGCATAATATAGATGAGTAAATATGTACTATACTTAATACAAATATTATCCCTGTACATCTTTTACAGTTCCAGCCTAAAGAAACACACGAAAATTTAAAACATCTAGTGCTAAGCAGCCTAAGTATCAATGTCAATGTCTATACTGTAGAAGGAGATATAGCAAACTAAACTCAGTAGTCGACAATCAGTAGAGAGTTGTTATATCTATGAGTTAGTATGACGTTGCCCAGCGTGTGCTAGTGTTCATATATAATAGCGGTATTAAGCACTTTAGAATTTTTTTTTTTTGATTCCTTGCATTTTTGTCATTATTCGTAATTTAAATGTATCTATGCAACCGTTTTTCTGCTTTTTGTGTCAGCAATATGAAACACTGATTTCAATGTTTTGAGTGAAAACGTGTTAATCAAGTGGCAGTGAAAGCAGTTTGAATGTTTTGAGTTGAAAAGATCTTGAAACATGAAGAGAGAGAACGCCAAGTATAAGCGAGAAAATAGAATAAACAGATTAAGTGATAAAATGCATACAACAATAAACGTCTTACGAATATTCATAAATTTATAGGTGTATGAGAACTTTTGCGTGCTTGGTGGAAATGCCGAAATTATTTACAATAAAAACAATACGTGTTATTTTCACTGCGCTCTATAACTAAGCTATGTAACTACTTCTCAACTGTACGGTATTTACATTGAACTCGTTTTATTATAAACCTCCCAACCAGGCTGACAGTTTGGAGTGAGTTTTACTTTTAAGGTTTTCAAAAGATTTCTTAAAGAAATAAAGTTTACTAAAAGTTCTTTTGACTAAATAACTCCAAGTGTCGCAGTCTTTGCACGCCAATTTTTTTTTAATATATGTAAGTTTTTTTCTTTACAAATATATTGCATATGGTAAATGTAAACAATAAAGAATTGTAAACGGTGAAAAAAGAAGCTTATGTCTAATAAAAGAGTCAACATACATATATTTTCCTGTCTATAAACTATATATAGTATATAGCATTAAATTTTATATTAGTTATAACCAGTAAATGTTTTAGAGCGATAAACAAAATTTTGGAAGTAAATCCAGTGAATTATGATATTTGAAACTGACTTTATGCCTAAACGCAGTTCAGCAAACAGCGGGTTGTCAATCTATTATATAACTTCTTTCAAAATTTAACTTAAGCTACATTTTACTCGAACTGCAGATATCTGCACGTAAGCGCGTGTATATGAGAAAATGGAAGGTGAGACCAGTAAAGGTTGTGGCCATAATCGTCACGTCACACTAAAAATTAGAATTTCTGTGTTAGGCAAATGATCTTTTAGATATTAAAATTGGGTGTGACAGTGTCACATTTTTTATGCGGATTATATATAACAAAAATCATGCACGCACACATAAGTGGTTACACCCACAATTACATATGCTTATGTACGTATCTAACATAGAAATGTCGACGAATTTTATTGCCTCAAAACAGCACAAAATTTCGCTGCATTAATAAATGATTAAAAACGAAAAAAACATATATATAAGCGACAGTCTAAAAATACAGCACATCTATTGAGAATACTCTTCCATTAACAACAGGGCATATAATCTGATTTGGTGAGTGTAACACATGCACACTCACTCCTGCTTCGAATAAATACTTATGAACACTTGAGTATAGCATTTGTTAATCTTGAAAAATTAGCTCAGCCATTTTAATTTTATTAAAAACGCATACATTTCATAAACCATTTTTTTGAGTAATAAATATTATGCTGCGTACATTGTTTTGTGTAAACTTTCGACTTTTTGTCTAAGTCTTATACACATCCGTAAATTTAGTTGATTTGTTTACAGTCGGTTATTATTAGGTGTTGTTATTAGTTATAATTTAAACGAGTCCATTAGCAAATGTACGCGCATACAGCGCCGTCAACAGTATTGTTGTAGTTATCATCCGTGCCAGTGTCGGCAGTAACGCCTACGTCACCGACGCTGTAGCTAAGCTAATACAAATAACACGCAACTAGAGTTAAACTCTAATTGGTTTGTCACACTTTCGAACTATATTCGCTGACCCGTTGGTGGATGAGTACGGCGATATGAGCGCGTCTGTTTTCTAATTTGTTCACATATTCATATATAAATGCATGCATCGCAAGAATACGTTCATATTTATTATATAGTTTATTTTGTCGTTAATTACAGTTGCTACTACATCATTTACAACAGGAACATTTATTTTACATTTTTAGAGCGTATGGACATAAATTTATGGAATATGTACATATAAAATTGACTCACCTTAAATATTTATTCACCAAATAAAATTTAAAGTTGTGGCAAAAGCATTATAAGCACGCGCGCTGTCAATATTAGTAAGATTTAGCAACCTTCAAGCACACATTCACGTAGAGTCGCGTCGTTGCGTGAAAATGCATTCAATATACTACCCGCCAATTCGTTTTTATTTAGCCGTCACAACTCAACCGAAAATTTTCCGACTGGTTTTTCGCGGGCAGTCAACGACCGCAAGCAAATAACACCAGTAGCATTGATCTGCACTAGAGGACGTCACCGGCCAAACTGTTTTGTACTCACAACGCGCCGGTTTTGCTTTTCCCACCCAGCACAACAATTGAATAGAATCTCACAAGCAATAATGCACATGTGTGTGTTTAATATGTAGCTGCACGCACACAATTACAACAAAATCATGCGCGCGCGTTCCACAGTCGTCACCCCGAAAACCGTTGCTACTGACGACTAAAATGTGGCATGCATATCGACATATCGGCATATATGTACATATGTATGTAGATATCCGTATATATGCAATTCTCATTACATATACATATGTATGTACGTACTGTTTTTTATATTTTTACAAATGTGATATACTCGTAAACATAAATACACGTGTTGCCTACTTCTTATTGACCTTACTGTTACCGTTTTTTTTGTTTTTGTTGTCGCATGACAGATATATGTATGTATGTATACATGCATATGTTAATATGTGCTACTGAGTAATTATGTGTATTGGATGTTGCTTCATGTGACGGAACTGAAACATAACAGAAGTCCAGACACATGTTGCTGAAAGCAATATGTTGCAAGAATATGAGTAGAAGAGCAAATAGTCAAATAGGCGATGTGCTTGTGCTTATGGTAAAACAACAGATCTTAGGTATAGTGGGGCGTATGAGTAATGCTTATCAGTAGCATTATTTTTTGTTAAGTTTGGTCAAAATAACACATTTAGGAACATTGCTAAAGTATTTGGCTATAGGCTAATATGCTATAATTTTGTCTGTACATACATATGGTGATAATTAACGTTTTATCTACAATGAACGTTATCAAGTGTGATAGAGCCGAATAACTTTCTCATATTCCCACATAGACAACGCAACCCTGCTGAGAAACTTAATATGAAAAATTTGCTTAATGGCATACTTGACTATGCTGATTGTATATGTAATAATATTCAATTAAGGAATTAATTTCGAAACCTGACAAAAAAATAATTTCTAATTGTTTATAAAGTACAATAGCTTAAAAATTCATTACCCATACAGAGTTATTTCAAACAAATAAGAATAGTAGGTAATAGCAGAATAAGCAGGTTCAAAAAATTTCCGTGTTTTTTAATGTCGTTCAGAGCAAGGCACAACGTTTAAAATAGTATGGTAAATATATTCTTATTCAATTGATTGAACATCAGTTTTTGATTCCCTACGACAAAATCCCTAGTTTTGTCTTAATAACACGCATTAAGCAAATAAAGACTGTATATGAAGTCAGGCAAAGCGAACTTTGAAATGTATATATGCCATACTTTTAAATTATTATGTATTAACGAAATGACTATACACACATATGTGTGCACTAAAACTTGTAATGACCTTTTTGAAACAACACCTGTTTTTAAATGAAAACACAAGCTATTCGTCCACACAAGCACGAATATTTGCATATGATTTCATCGTATATGTGAATGTCAGCTGGTATAATTCAAAATCATGTGGAGGATGATTTATTATTTATCCATTGTCATAACTATTATACATCTTGATATAAAGTAGAGTCCACTAATTTTAATGGCTTCTGTTGATTATACTTACATCTGTAAAAAAACAACAAAAAATCATGAATTTCAAAAATGTTTCAATTACAAATATTCTGTATTTCCAAACTGCTTATACTGATTACATTTTTTGTAAAATATTCCAAATATAAAGTAAATTTGGTTTATTTAGATAATCCGTCTATCATCAATGTATATACATTTAAATTTTTCTGAATAATACGCGGATATTTTCAATTAGCTTCCAACCATTAATATCTGCATCGCTTTAATATTTTCTTTGTAATAAAATTTGTATTCCTTTATTTTGATTACAAATACTTTTGTTTCGATTGTGGGAGCTATGCAGATTGCAACTCTTATAGGTATTTTTTCATAGTTAATGGTCAGTTTGTTAGTAAATAATTATTGCATTATTATGTACTAATGCAAGCATTTTTTTATATGTTTTAGTGTCGGCTTTACATTTTTAAACTATTATTCAACAATGAACATACCCCAAATAATTAATACTCTGAAAGTAATTCTACAATTTTGCAAACTGGTGAGAAATATACTCTTTATTTATGTTACACAATTTACTTAAAGGCAAAAGAGCATTCCGAGTTTATTGAGGAATTATTGATATACGTTTTCCACAAATTTATATTAATGCCATCAGATTATATAGTGAAAAAATACATGAGGTATCAAAGTTAAATAAAATATGATCTTATGTGTACACAACTCAAAAAAAAAAACAAATTTATTAAAGTAAAGAAATAAAATTTTGAAATGCTATACATATATCAAAACTGGCGACTGTCATTGCTTAAATACACAATTTAGAATACTTTAGTTTTCACTTTTTCTTAAATTAAAGGAAGCAAACAGATTCAGTTCTTACGAATGGCGTAAAAATTGCTTTAGAAGATCATGTTTCAGTTAAAAACTTATTATATTTTAAGAGTTATGATAGCTTCCGATCATTTTGGCACTTCTTTATTCCCAATCTTTTTTTATTTCGAAAGTCCAATCCCATTTCAAGTGTATGTGCTTATCGTCGTCGGTGAATAGCGATGCAACTGAATATGTACCACGTGCCATCAGGCCTGCTGGTGCTTCTTCAGATGGTGTTAAGTAGAACTGAATTTCTTTTTTCGGTGGATATGAGCCAACCATATGGGTCATTTTATCAACTAAAATATAAAACAGAAATTATGATTAGTTTTTAAATATTAAATAAATTTAGTAAAACTGCCTGTCTTACCAACAACTTTTTGAATTAATTTGAAGTTAAAGACAAGAGAACACAACACAATCACACATATAATGTTAGTATTTATTAGTTAATAATATTAACAAGTCCAGTCAGCAGCGGGAAAATAGTTTAGATATACATTGCATGATTAAAATTCAAACAAAAAACTAAAGTTTAACAGAAATTTTATCATTAACTATACTATTCAACTTGCTTAAATAGTCCGTACACAGATACAGATGCATTTTTATGAACGAGTTTCTTTAGATTTCTTCAGGATATTACAGCTGTAATCAAGTTATGTAATATTGGCAAAGAGGAATTAAATAAAGTCTTTTGCAGAATAATAACTATTAAAGCAGTAAAACATTTTAGCTCATCATTCTGACTTTTGGTTTTGAAACGAAATGTGGTAAAACATTTTGTGTATCGCACACTTTATTATACGATTTGAAAAATATCCAAAAAGTATAACATTTTAAAATAAATAAACATAACTCGAATTTAACTGTGATAGTAATGGTAAACATTTACTATAACTATGTAAAATCCTAATAAAAATATTTGAGAAGTTTTTACCAGATCCAGTCAAAACTGTACATATGTATATGCTTATAACTTCATTGTTATTTTCAATTATTACCACAGTTTTTATAACATAATAATGCTTTTGAAAATGACTTAGTGTAATAAAGGAAGCAAATATTTACCTGGTACACCCAATCTATAAGTCTTTTGTACGTATTTAAGGCCATGAACAATCTCTCTTTGCACAATAAAATCTATGCGCACTTTATAGTGAACTCCTTCTTTAATGACGAATACCTAGAAAATCAAAATACATTTATTATTATTTATCTATTAATAAATCAAATACAGATGCTGTGATAGACATTCTATCTTATATCTATGCAAAAATAGTGGTAAAAAATTGTTTATTAGAATTATATGTAAATTTTTAGTTTTGTAATGTTATCTGGGTGTTCAAAAAATTTCTGAAATTCAATTTTAAAAATTGTGAATTACCTGTTTCTTTAGTTGACTTAGATCGCCTGTTAAATCCAGCTCCATATCATCTCGACCTTCAACTACCAAAGCCAATTTTTTCACGATCACTTTGCGTTGATCATTTGCATCTGCAATATAAAGTAATTTAGGAACATGTGAATAATATTCTTGAAATTATGTCATGTTTTTATCATACCGACAATAATTTTTTCAGCCTGTGCAGACCCCAACAAAGCCTCTTTATAGCGACGTAAACTCTCATCCTCTTGGTCTACAGCCATTATTTCCTCAATAGTCTTTTCCGGTGGTGGCTGGTACGTGCTGTCGTGTATGTCCTCATCATGAATAGCGTGTTCGGCGTGAGACTCCGCAGACATATTCTATACTTTTTTTTTACAAACAAAAGTACACAAAATGCAAATAGGGTTTTGAAATTTCTTCAGAGAATTTATATTCAACATTAAACAACTGTCACTGGACACAATATCAATTTTCTCTTTTATATATTTTAGTGTCCAGTTAATACTCTTAATATAATAATTAATGTACAATATTTAGCGTGCGAGTGCGTTTCTCATATAAATACCGCCATACATATTAATTTTTAGAACCTCGAAACATTTAGCCCGCATGAATCATACATACATCCCATACGTAAGTACATATAAATTCCAGCCGCTGTTTTAAAGAATATACCTATGTATCTAAACATTCTTTGTGACTCACTAACATCATACATACAGATATCAATTACCTACACGAACATAACGTAGTATTATTCTCTTTAATGTTGTGAATCTTCCCACATTTGGAAGAAATACTGACAGTGCCCTTGATTATTAGTCTTACATATATGAAAGTAATGACTAGATATACGTTTCGCATAAAAAACATTCCCTCTTATCGTAGCTATATCTATTCACTAATATTAACTTATTATCAATAACACATTTATCAGTAGACTAGCAAGCTCATTCGAAATTCACCTAATATACTTACTATTGGAAGTATTAATTTTTTGTTAAGAGCGAATAAATTACTTTTATTTTTGATAGGCGATTTTAAACAAGCATGTAAATAATTTCAAATGAAAATATAAGTCTGTAAAAACAGCTAATTCTTTTGGAGAACCACGAATGGATGTATTAATAAATGACGAAGAAAAGTGAGTAGTTCCTCCAGAATTGATACTCGTTCGTTACAAAATGAAATAGAAACGAGTTAGTTTTCTTTTCAGAGTTGCATTTACTGCAATTAAAATTTGTTAAATTTAAACAAATTTTGTCGTATGAAACTTTAAAATAATTCACACTGCGTTGAAGTACATATCAGCATATATTATCATTTTTATTGGCATTTTGTTTTTACACTATGCAAAGCATTTTTTATTCATCAGCGGAAGTTTGTGGAATATGGAAATAGGATTTATCTGGCAGCAATGGTTTATTACACAAAAAATATATTTTGTTGCTTTCTCTATTCTTTTACTTATTCTTAAAGTTTTTATATTTTTCTGATCTATTTCTTAAAAATTTAAAAAGAAAGATTAAGTAAAAGAACTTTGACGGAAACGTATTTTTAAGTTAAACACAATCAATATTAGTTTTGGGGAAAAAGTTTAGATACGATCCAAGTACGAGGGATGTGAAAACGCATATTAGAATAAAAATAGATCAGGCTCTTCTTAGTGTTCCAAAGTTATTTATGCTCGAGATTAACAGCCAAAAAGTTAATACAACCAGTGTAATGGCTCAACAAAATGAAATTGCAAGCAACACAACCACAACTTCAGATGTGTTGTCAACTAATGCAAGTAAAATGTTGGAAGCCGCGCTGCAACAAATGGATGGCATAATATCAGGAAACAGCAATTTAAATGATTCTGGTGATGGTATAAAATCTCTGGTTAAACCCAGTACGATAATTAGCGCGGAACGCAGTTTGATTTCAGTAAACAATGTGTTGTCAACTGCTAAAACTCTTGCACTAGCTCTTCAACAGGTAACCCAACTTTAACGTAAAGTAAACTATGTATGTATAACATTATTTTCTAGGTAGGATTGGCTGCACCGGTACCAGATCCAGCTACAGTAGCCGTGATAAGTGATTGGTTAGAAACACATATTCCTCGTCAAGATGCTGATGAGCGACTGAGAAGATTACAGAGGGACAAAGAAGCATTATCTCTTCAGTATCAACTCCTAACCGATCGTGTTTCCGACCAAGCTGATAAAATCATTGAATTGGAGGGTCTTCTTCAAGAAAAAACACAATTATTAAGTGATAGAGATGAACAACTGCAACGTTTAATGCTTTCGAGATCTTCTTTAGAAACTCAAAAATTAGAGTTAATGACTGCTCTTAGCGAGTTGAAGCTTCATAGAGCAGCTTTGGAGCGTGAAAATGTAGAGCTGCGTGAGTGGGATAGCACAAACCATAACAATAGCCCTACCAAATCATTAACCCCTAAGCGAATTCTTTTTGGTAGTATGGGTAATTTAAATCAAATAAATTTCAATAGTAACGAAAATGTCAGATCCCCTAAAACGCCTCCTGCGTCATTACGTCATCAGATACATCCCCAATATCATAGTTTACCAAGGGCTCGGAATAACAAGTATAATAACGATAACAGTCACAGCACTTTGATAAATTCGGAAAATAATCATCAATTTGATAAAAATGCAAATATGCAGCGACAACGTAATGTGGCTTTTGCATCGAATGAAAAAATCCTTATTGGGGATTCGGCAGGATCTTTTTCTGGAACAGAACACGATGCAATTGAATGTCGAGAGGATGCTACATATTGCATCTCATCACCTAACATTCGTGAAAGATCAGCGAAAGGATTAAAAGGCATTTTAGGGAAATTGAGACGAAGCAATAGTGGAACTTTAGAATTGCCAGCTATAAAGAATGCCGAACCAGCTTTTAAAAGAGGAGGTATCACACGTGCCACTGCAGGTGGACGAATTGAATGGAACACTCAAACTCCACAGCTTTTAACTCCGTCAAAAGGTTACACCGAGTGGTCTACGCAAGAAGTATGTAATTGGCTTACGGATCTCGGACTTGGTTGTTATTCTGATGATTGTAGGCAAGTGCTACTACTCTTTGACAAATTTAATGAATATACCATCACATAGTTTTTTTCATTTAGAAAGTGGTTGAATGCCAGCACCAACATATGTTTTTTCACCGTCTCTCCAGTAGATATAGAGCGAGAGTTAAATCTGAAATCATCACTTCATCGAAAGAAAATATTATTAGCAATTGATGAACTAACAGGAAAAGAAAATGATCCACTAGCTTTAAAAGCTGCAGAACTAGATGTTAGTTGGGTTATGCGTTGGTTAGATGATATTGGTTTACCGCAATATAAAGATCCTTTTTTAATGGCTAAAATTGATGGAAGAATGCTTCACCGTTTAACAATGGAAGATTTGGCTCATTTGCATGTGTACTCTTGTTTACATATAGCGTCACTCCGTTGTGGTATTCAATGTATGCGCGAAGTAGAATGGAACGCCGAGTGCCTCATTCGACGTTCGACCGGATCGGTACGACCTACTTCGAACGTAGATGATCAATCTTTAGAGGAAGACGAGAAAAATTTAGAAGAAAATACGGAAAACATATCTTTATGGACCGCACATCGTGTTATGGAGTGGCTGAGAGTTGCAGATTTATCAGAGTACGCTCCCAATTTAAGAGGTGCTGGCGTACATGGTGCATTAATGCTTTATGAACAACGGTTCACTGCCGATCTATTGGCAGATTTGCTTAGTATACCTCCTAGTAAAACTTTATTACGCCGGTAAGGATAGTTTTTTTTATTTATAAACTAGAAACAATTGATAACATTACAATTTTTGTAATTGCTGATTATTATCACTTTCAGTCATTTGGCTACACATTTCAAAGAATTACTTGGTCGTGACATAATACAAAATAAACGTGACATTGAATCAAATCCGGGTTATCAACCATTAACAATAACTTCTAAGATAAAACCGCCAAAAAAGACGCAGTTCTCATTAAAACGAAGGAAAAGTAACAAGGGAAGTGGTGATGTGGATTGGACTGATTATGTTTGCCCCATGTCCTCCTGCCTTCTCAACAACGACCAAGATAAGTCACTTTCACTGAGTAATTCAAGTAGCTCCGGAAGGTGTTCTGCGAATATAAGTCAGTAACAGAATACATAAGTATTTATATCATTTTCCACGACAATAGGGCCTACATAACCGAAATAGACTCGTATTATATCCGGCAAAACGTTGTCATTGGACGCCTTTTCCCCATAACTATTTTGGGAATGTTTTATGCCGTGACGACAAGATGTCTAATTTCTAACCTTTAACGCTTTAATTTCGATTACGCTAACTTTTATTTTGTTTCCGTTATATTCTTATTTTAGTTTGAAACGCAATATTTCAGTCGTGCTACAATTTTTTATTTATTAAAAATATTTATAAGGAAACGTTAACAATGATTTCATTTCTTGGCTATTAAGGTTACTTACCACCAATCTTATAAATTGATCAAATTTACCATTTCCAGTGCTTTTTTTCGTATATTTTCAATACAGAATTTTTATTTTCAATTATACTTTGTGCCGTTAAAAATAGTTTTTGGGTTTTGCGCAGGCATTTAACAATTGATAAAATGTCTTCCAAATACATTTTATAGAATGCGGCTGAATATAAGATAAGAAAAAAATATAGTATTGAACATAAAATGTTGCCTTAATAGGCATTTAGTAAACCTAATTTCAATGACGTTCACTTTGTAATTTTGTAATACTTAGTATATATTATCTACCAAATAATGAAATACGAACGATATATGTAGTTAATCATGAATGTGTATATACAAAATCGTTTTATATAAATGTTGTGTTAATAAAGTTTTTGACAAGAAAATATAAACAGTAAAATGTGTACATTTTGCATAATAGACTAGTGCAGAAGCCTTTGAAAATGATGAAAATAAAGAAAGAAATTCATAGTATGTTGAAATCCAACGGAAACGAAAGAGAAAATGAAAAACATTAAAGGAAAAATAATTTACGAGCGATCTGAGGTCGGGAAAAGGAAGGCGAGGGACGTGGTTTCAGGGTTAAAAAATGTATCTCGATTTGACGACAAAACTACGAGTCATAGAAAAATGTTATTTTGTATTTATAAGTTTTGTATACAGACTTCTTTCAAATAACCTCAAAATTTATGTGAAAAATTCAAATAAGCCAGTTCTTAGGCTTTTTATTTTTTTCTGATACACATTCTTTTTTTTCACGAAATTTTGTGTAAACCTACCTATTATGTACCCAACACGTTATATTTTTATTATTATATATTTATAAAAGCAGCGACCAATTAAAGTTTTCAGCTGTTTAATTAGTACTTTTCTGGGCATTTTCTAAAAAAAGTTTACCATAGTAATGTATTGTATGTACATATTTGTACCATCCGAAAGGAGATTTTTCAACGAACATGAAGCCTACCGACATTTAAAAAGAATCGGATGTTTTGACGTGAGAATTTTTTATTGAAAATTAGGGTTTTTTTCGATACTAGATCAATATAAGGAGAAAAACACTTAAATAAAAAAAAAACACATGGCGTGTTAGGGACATAAGAGGTAAGTTTACACCAAACTTTATGAAAGCGAACAATTTTTGTATAAGATACAAATATTTGAATTTTTCACATAAATTTTGAGTTTATACGAAAGAAGTCTGTTTTTTCTTTGGGACTTAAAAATTCAACCACGCCCTCCTTTCCTTTTCCCCACCTCAGATCGCCCGTAAATTATTTTTCGTTTGATGTTGATTATTTTATCTTGTGTTACCGATCGGTTAGACTCTACAATAATTTTTTTGTTTTCAAAAATTATCTGACCTGGTAAAAATCGAATTTATTGTTTTATTTTTAACTACAATAGGAATTCACAATAAATATTTGTCATATTTACCTATTTAACTTAATTTCATAAAATGAGAATTTGACATTTGTGAACAAAGTGGTTTCAAACTGCACAATGAAGTAATAATTTGTTCAATGACTAGTTTAATACACGCATATATATATGTACATATGTATAGTAATATAAGTATCCTTAAGTTCTAAAGATTCTTTGGCAGTGTTAAAATTTGATGCAAATATTTAGCATTATAAATAATAGGTCATTCGACTGTTTATGTCCCAGATAAATCAAATATCTTCAAATTATATAATTTATTTACTTATGTCTCTGCAATGTTATCCACCAATTTCTGTTCGGGCAGAATTTTCGCTGTTAAGTTACTTGTACTACTGAGAGTGCTACTTTGCGAGCATACTTCACTAGTGGTTAAAAATCCATGACGTTCTAGTATATTCTGTATGTCCTGCTCAGTAAAGTTGTCTGCTGTATTCTCTTCTTTTTTCATTTCATTCTTGGTTAAAGGCTGATGAGTTAAAAATGCTTTTTCTACTAGATTTGATTGATGTACTTCTTCGGGGAGATAATCCTTCCAATTTCTGAACAAGTAACGGGTGAACTTCTTCAATTGTCGAAATTTACAATAGGTGGCGCCTTCGGCAGATTCGAGTTGCTGTGTTTGAATAAGAAATCCTTTTTCTCTAAATGTTTTCTCGAGTTTTTCGCGTTGAGTTGATCTTCGCGACTTCTTTTTAGGATGTAGGGAGTGGCAAGTTAACGGTTCAACCATTATATTCGCAAAATTATCTTTCATGGAAGATGTTTTATGTGTGGACATGTCATTGCTGTAGTTTGAACCTACTATTATTTGAATTTTCTGTGGTTGTTTTTGGGTTGTTTGAGCTGAACAACCAGAGTATGAAGACTCCAACTTCGATATTGGTAATGGCATTGAAACCTCTGTTAATGATACAGATGCTGGTGATAACAAGTTTGCAGTCGGAGACTCAGGAATTTGTAAAATTTCATTACTAAGCTCAGCTGATGGTGGTGGTATGTCATTTATTGAGCATTCGTTTTCCGTTGTCGGGCATGATACTACACAATTAACACCCGGTAAGAAACCAGCAGAGTTTTGTAAACTTTCACGTGGGAAATATTCAAAACCACGGCTTGATTTATCACCAGTACCACTATAATATCGATAATTACCACCCGAATCTACAGAAAGCATTTTCTTCTCCTCCAAAGAGGGTTTGTCACCACCAGTGAATTTGAATTTGCATATGCTGACTTCTGTTGGTGTGTTTGGGGTAATTTCCGCCGGAATTGGTGGAATGAAAATGGCGGATCGTTTCCGCTTCTGAGGAGCGGAAAGCTGATTAGTGGAATTTATTGTCGTGGCAACCGTTATTGTACTCGCAGATGTGGTTGCGGTTATACTTGAATTTTCCGACTTAATCGAAGATGGCGTGGACATAAGATCCGGATAATCAATAGATTGATTGTTTAAGCTTGAAGTCGGAGACATGTTCTCTGTTTTTGACATACGAATTAACCCACTTGGTATTGGTATTTTTAGCGATAGTTGGTTGTCTTTTTTTATTGTCTCCACAGGTAGGCCGAATGGCTGACTACATGTGTTCACTAAAGTGCCTGAAAGTAATTTCTGGTAGTATAGATTTATTGGGTGTAAATCATGTTTCGCTTGATTTGGATGTGAGAATGTAGGCGTTAAATCTGTAGAATTATTTGTATCCACATTTGATTCAACTTTTAGAATAACTGATCTTTTGAGATCGGAACTCGGCATTAAATTAGTTAATTTTGTTTCAAAGAAATTTTCTACACCTAAATTAAGCGTATTTATGCATTCAATATCGTCTATTCCGCAAGCATTTTCACTTTCTCCGCTCGAAATCGACAAATACTCGCATTGCTGATCTCTTACACAGAGATTCAATGGCAATTCGTCTGTAATACCAAGCTTTTGATCTTCATTCTTTGCAAGTTTTGATGAACTTAGTACATTATTTGGGGTACCGGGTAATATTGTACCATAGTTTTTATATATTAAGTGACAGATATCAGCTTTTTTGGGTTTCCTACCACGTCGTGGTTTCGAATTGTCTAGCGTTATTTCACCCATGTACGGAAGATCAGCAAAGTTGATGACTCGTTTGACGGATGTTGAGTTGATAGCGTTGAATGTTGTTGCATTTGAAGAAAATTTGTTCATTGAGTTTTTGAGACTCGAAGTGTGAACCTGATCTTTTTCAGAACTATGTGTGTGTTTTGAATCAAAGCGGATGTCATTTTTTACGGTGGACGGTGGATTGGTAATGCCTGGTTTTAAAGGCTGCATACGGCTGACCTGATAATTATTGTTAGTATCGTTATAAACTGCGGTTTTAGGAAGCTCCAATCTTGTTTGCTGTTGACCATGTATTTTCTCAGTTTGTTCTATGTCTTCCTCTTGAGCCGATCGATGAATAGCTGCAATCGTTTGCAACCAGCTACGTACATTTTCTTGCCCATTTGGGCCTTGGTGGAGTTTTGAAGAGTGAATATTTTTCGAAGCACGAAATTCGGATGATTTCGCATTTGATTCTTTGACGTAAGGCGTAAGCTGTCCCTGCGTAGCTTCATAGTGAATAAGATACTCTGGTGGCAGAGCTTGGTGATGAAAACGTAGTTTTAAAACACCTTTCTTTTTGGGCAATTTTAAGTCATTCGTTTTATTATTAGTTTGTGCGACGTCGGTACATATATGTACGCGCTTGTCTACATCGATTGCTGTACGATTCTGAGCGCTCATTAAACCAGCTTTAACTTTAAGCTGTTGTTTGGTTAATAAGCTGCATCCATTTTGAGGCAACTTTCTAAGTAGTTGTTTAGATCTTGTCGTTGAAGGAAGTTTTTGTTTGATTGTAGTTGAGGAAGCAGGCAGTAGGTTCGTTGTTTGGGTATTTTCTTCATTTTGTGCTGTGCATATAATCAGGTGACTATCATCATCAGCTGCACCAACATTGTTGGCGCCATGGCATATTAACGGATCATCAGAGTTTTGTAACAATAATTTGCTAGTCGTTAAATTCAAGCGACGTTGATGCCGCTGTTCGTGACGGTGTTGTTCGCTTCGCAACCGTTGACGTGAGTGTTCCTGATTATTTGTTGGGTGCTGTTTCCATGTTGCGGGATGGCTTGTATGTTCGTTTCTGGTGACACTCGGTAAATTTGCAGGGCTTACATTTCCAATATAATTGTTAGCATTATTTTCAATAGACGACTCCAGCTGAGGCTCCAACGGCACTGCTGGCGAAATGCACATGCCTTTTTTGTAAATAGAATTTGCGCCATTCAAGAAATCAAGCTCGTCTTGCATGCTATCAGCAGCTGTTTACGATAAAAATTTAGAAAATTAAAAAAATTATTATCATATTTTTAATGCGTATTCAAATTATTATATATATGACCATTTTTCAATTAATTTAGATTATTTATCAATTTATATTTGTAATAATGCATAATTGCATTATTTATCAATAATACGCATACTGTTGCGTATGAACAAGAGAATTACAAATTATAAGCACAACTATATTACGTCAACAGGTTTCCTTGTCATCGCAATGCAAATAAAATAAACTGTTTCTGTAAATAGCCGAGAGAAATGAAATGCTAGAATGCAATTCAGCATTCATAATTACCGGTAAACAGGAGTTCCGGCAACATCTCGTACCAAAGTTTGATATGTTATTGAACTAAAAAAATTATAGGCGTCTACTTCACTTTGCTCTCACATGTTTACACAGTTGTCGTTTTCGCTCAGAGAGCCGTATTTTTAAATTATTTTTGGTATTTTACTTTTTTTTAGCTTATTATTGGCAAAATTCGTGTCGTACTCTTGTTTTATAGCATCTACTTTTCTGTGTATGCGCACAATTTCCTTATGCGAGTTTTTACGAAAATTTCAAATTTTGTTTGTGCTTTTTGTGTGAAATTCGATTCCCTTTATGCGAAAATTACCATATACGGTATATGTATGTGAAAGTATTTTTACACTTTGAATTTGATTACATTTTGCAGAGGAATTTACTTGAACTCATTGCTATTGAGTATACTTAGATGTACTTAGATGAGAAAAAATTAGTTTCATATTATAATAACACGTGGATTGGTTAATGGAAGTGCATAGTTATAACACAAACACTATGTACAAGCTTAAATTTCTGTAGTCCTTTACTGTAGTGTTATTTGCAATATACCATATTGTAGGTGGTTGCAAACGAATGCGATTTCAAACACTTTTCATTACTAACTTCCTTTTCCGTTTCGTTTCACTTAGTATAACTATTGTACGTTTACGCTTATGTTAATCTACGAAAACTTAATCACGCGTGATCATGGTGACATCCAAAACACAACTAAATTGAATGAAAATAATTTTCCGAAAATCCACCTTAGATGAACGACATACTAACTATCTGCGTGTAAATACAAATATAATTACTACAAGTATGTGTTGGAAGGCTTTTCTGTCATTTGAAAGCTGCTGGGTGAATGTATGTATGTTCTCATCTAGATCACAGTTGAGATTGCTTACTCATTCAACTCAATTCCTAAATTCTCTTACACAGTACCATATGTGCTTCAGTGTTTTCTTGCCGTTAAGCTTTGTCATTCACTTTGCATCAACGGAAACGCACGTTGTTAAAATTAGAAAAGTCAACTTGTTGAGTATGCCTGCAATCGTTTTGTCCACTGTGCGACAGTAACTACACAATGTAACAGGCACTAGTTGATTAGAAACTCATATTTGGGCAATATTCCTAAAATTAACTAAATTTAATGTAACTAAATTAAACACAAGCGCAGCATAAATAGAAAATATGAATTATTCTAAGAACATTTAGCATGTCTTTTGGAGTAAATGCCGGCATATATATGATTGACTTAATATAGAGAGACACTTAAATATTGAACGTGTTTCGGAAATTGATACAAATGTGAATGTTTTTATATAAATAGATCAAGATTTTTTTAGAACTTAGTTTATAAATATAAATTTAAGCACATACCTGAATACTCATATTCATAGCTTCTATGTATGATTGGATTGTATCTGATATTACTATAAATAACTTCCACTAACGGAAACTGGAGACGATGGCGTTGAATAAATGATTTCTGATTGCTATGCATTAGTTACATATACATATGTACATATACATATAGACTTCTAAGTATTAAGCAAAAAAAAAATATTTCGATACAGTTCAGAGTTTGGCTATTAGTTGTCATAATAAATTATGTATGCATTTATACATTGAGTTATTTATAGCTTATTCATTGATTAATACAATTGTATGTCAATAGACATATTCAGATACCAACGAAGTAAAATTTGAAGCTGACTGAGTTTAGAAGTTACGTTTTATTTAAAACCAGAAATATTTTACCAAAACTACATATACGTTTGCAAATAAAAAGCAGTTAGAACCTGCTTATCACGTGAATTAAGGCAAGTGAAAAATATTTAAAATAATTAGTGTTTAAGATAAAGAGATATCAGTAATAAAATTTCCATGTTACATCAAACCGGAAAACCGTTATTTCCAAGGTTTATTGTTACCGGCGATCACTGTATACTGTATTACCGCTTATTCGTTTGGACTTGTGTATATACTGCAAATGTGTATAAATACTGCAAAAATAAATAGAAAACATATCCAAAAACATTAACCAAAAAAGACTTATACCAGTCAACGTAGCCAAAAAAGTTTAACTACTAAACCCGTACCCAACTGTAATCCACTTCGCAGCCAACAGCCATCGCAATCACCAAAACAATATTTACAACAACAATGAAATCCCAATTCTACCCATTTATAGCGCGCACGTCCATAAATGTGAAACTTCCTCCTATAAATGTAAACAAATATTGCAATTCAATTTTAAGCTTCTGCGTTGTGGCTGTAAAAATTGAACTGTCAATGTGCCGACGTCACTTGGAGCATTTGTCTAGCAAATAATTTGTACAAACTTATACAAATTATTATAAAAGTTGGCTAATTTTTGTTCGGACAAAGGGAAGGACGCAATTGGATCAAACACACGTAATATGTACAACTAATAGTTAGCAGTGGATCAAATATTTTCCATTTGTCAAACATTTTTGTTTAGGTTTATATCTCAACGCATTAGATTCCTTCTTCAAAAAAATCAATGTTTTGGAAATATGAAAAACAACACCTATGTATTGTATATTATTCAAAAAGCTGGTTTGGCTAATATATGGACATACCAATAATCTTTCACTATGTGACTGAATAAGTCAAAAGGTGGGTGTCTAAATGAATTAGTCAAGAATTTGTTGTTTTCTAGTACTTGTATAGTATATTTGAATATGCATACCTGCATACATATGTATGTGTACAATAGTGTGTCTATGTACTAGACATACTTGTATGTGCTAATGTTATACATCGCAAATTTAATACAAGACTGTAATAACTCGAAAAAAACAATAAATTATTTTGGTTAATTGAGTTGAAAAAGTCATACAAAGAATTGAATTTCCATTATTCGACACATAGCAAAAGCTTTTATATTACAATTCTTCTGATATGATAACTGTTCTTCGTTTTCTGAAACGAGTGAACTGCAGTTACTTACAAGTATATTCGATGTAATTCCAGTTTTTTGTGGCTAAGAAATTGAAAAGACTCAGAAAAGTTTAATGCAACAGCGAAATACGAGTAAAAGAAGAGCCTTTGGATTTTCTCCGCATAAAGTACTTCCACATTTTACATATGGGATAAATATTTGCAAATAGAAAATACGCATTATGAGCAAGTCTTTAAATTTTCAAAAGTAAAATAATTTGCATATGCAACTGTCATATGTACATAATATGAAAACCCCAAAATTTACTACAGCTGAAGTATTTTATTAAGAATCAAATATTCAAACGAGTATAATCCGTATATGGATCAAAGCTAATTTAGCACCTCCACGTATATTTTCTTTTATACATGCATATGTAAGTACACAATTATAACACTAGCCGTATATATGAATTTATGAAATTTATTTTTGCATGCAATCTAGGTGAAGCTCAAAAAGAAGAATGGAATCATTTTGGCTGGTATATTACAAGCGACATTGCAATATGCTAGTGTATACACTGTTGTAGGTGTTGATATTTGAATTAAGCAGTTTAAACAACATGTATGTACAAATGTATGTAAGAGTAATAATTCCAAATTAGTAAAGTTGTTAAGCACTGCAACCACATATTTGAAGTATTCCCGGTCATGGAAATATGTCGAATATGAAATTTCGATTTTTTATAAACGGTATATCGATTTTTTTATAAATGCAACTGCTTCCTCATATAGGGAAACTACAAATTTAAAGGAAGGTGTAAGATATTATTATTTATAATTAAATAAAATATGGTAAACATTATATATAATTTTGTTCGACAAATTACTTAGTAATATGGTTGGAAAGTGAGAATAATAAGAAGTTGACCCCTAGTAAATAAGTTGAATTACTATTTAGCGCATTTTAAAGCTAAAAAATGAAAGTTAAATCTGTAATACCGTAATATTAAATCCTAATTGATAAGTTAAGTGTTACAGCCGTCCGGCAACGTTCGGTACCAAAAATGCGACTATTTTACTTTACAAAGAATTTAACAATCATTTATTTCAAATTTAAAACTTCATAACTCGTCCGCCCACCAAAATACAGAAACAGACAGAGTAATTATAAATGAGATGTTATTGCACAATTGAAAAAATATCGCATAGTGTTGGGATTGGTTAAGTAAACTAAATGTATCTTAAATAATTCGCAAGTAATGCATGCATACATTAAAATAAAAAATAATATAAAAAGAAAGAAAGAACCTTACTATCATTTAGGTAACAGCTTTAATTTATAACTTCCGAAATAGCTACTCCCAGATTTAATAAAATTTCATACATATGTATGCATGTGCATCATATTAAATATATTTTCAAGATCAGCCTCTCATTAATCGTAAGATATAAAGAACTAAACTTAACGAAAACTCGGAGTGTATGCGTAAGTTTAAACTTATTAATAGTGAAATATTAACGCACCGTGGAAAAACTAAATAACCAATCACTCAGAGTCTACATTTTTAGTACACGTATAAAATTCACTTAATGAATATATTAAAAAGCACTGTATCTTTATGGAAAATGTGAGCGTTTAGGTACCCGGTTGGTGTTTTGATATCTCTAACCGTGTTCTGAGCTGAAAGTGTGCACTTGTTTATACATATCTTAGTAACTGAAGTTGCAATTTAATACTAAAAGAGTAAGCCAGTCTAACGCGGTAAATTTTAGCCGCTGAGCGAGTCAACAGTGCTCGGATTGCTATCGTAACATTTTTTGAAAATTGCAGTTACTATCCAAAGCACATTGAGCAGTGACTTACCACATCTAATAAACCGCAAATTAATTATTAATTAATTTAATTAACAATTAGTGATATATATAGGTATTAACTTTTGTTCACTTTCCTTAATTAATGTTCTAAAAAGTCTTATATTCAATAATAAAATTCATTCTAAAAAGTGTTAATTTAAACATATCAAATCGTTCGTACTTTTTTAAAATCTACTCCTTTTTATAATTCCACCAAGTTAAAATTTTCTCAAATCCGAACACTAGCCATAACGACTGTTCGGCTCTCATTTCAAACCTTCAAACCAACGACCGGTATATACATGTACATATACACTGTTGCCAACTTCGGGTTTTGTATACAAATCTGTAACAATTGGCTATATGTAATAATGTTTTTACCCTAACTGATAGTTTAGGCATATAAAGTGATAAGAATATACAATGCTTTTGTTTTTTAACTTTTTAATTAGCAATGTGACTATTAAAAACTATTTTTATGATAAATCCATTTGGTGGTTTTTTTAGCTTCTTCATTTTATGTGTGCCAACCGCCTGCAAAAGGTTTTTTATTTTGAAGTAAAACTATTACGATTATCGGACTATGATTCCGATATCATTCAAACATTTCCAAAGGAATTTAATAAATAATACTACTTATTTATTTACTACCACCTTGTATGGATTCGCTTTCTATTTGACATTCTCTCCACTCACATCACATTTTGACAGTTTTTGACAATTCATACCCTATTTACCCTTTTATACTTTTTCATATTGACATTCTATGCAATTACAACCTTTATTTCGTTTTTATCATACGATTTTTATAAATAATTATTACACCAAAGATAAAATTTTGTGAATTTGTTCAATTAAAATATATAAAATGTCTTCAAAGCAAACAGCTAAAAAGTATAAATGGGCATTAGATTTTAGCAACATGTAAGTTGAATTTCGTTAGTAAGATATTGTATGTCCATGAAATTACTTATGTATTTTGTTTTAGAAAAAATGGGGACTTGCCATCTCCACCGGGTTACAATCCGTCAGTACTAGTCAACCAGACTGAAGTGGTGAGAGATCAACGACTTGTTATTAAGAAGTCGTGGGACTTGGCGCTTGGTCCTTTGAAGCAGGTAACATCAAGTTAATTTAATAGTTTTGATTTAATTGAAGTAATTTCAGATTCCGATGAATTTGTTCATAATGTACATGTCGGGTAGTTCCATATCGATATTCCCCATAATGATGGTTGGCATGATGCTTATCCGACCACTTAAAGCAATGTTTTCCACTTCAGTCACATCTAAAATGGCGGAAGGCGCACAGGGCAGTGGTCAGAAACTCGTATATTTTTTGGGAAATATGGCGAATGTAGCTGTCGCATTATACAAATGTCATAGCATGGGCTTATTACCAACACATGCATCTGACTGGCTCGCATTTGTAGAACCTCAAACACGTCTTGAGTACTATGGCGGCGGTGTATCGTTTATTTAAGACAAATACATAAACGTCTCAAAGATTAAAAACGACATATAATATAGTTTTATTTTTTATCATTGAATCTAATATAGCATTGAAAAGAGTGGTTTGACAATATAACCAAGTATGATACACAAAGCAATTCTAAATAGGAATTTTCTTTATATAAAAACTAAGTTCTTAAACTGTCGTTTGAAAATCGACACATGGATTCTTCAATTTAATTGATTGAATTGTTCCTAACACGGAATATGAGTAGATAGTAGTAGGATAGTACAACCATCCAACAAATATTTACATATGTATGTTCAGAGAAGTAAATAGGGATTTACATTTATTTTCAATAGAAATTTAAACATATTGTACGGTTTTATAAAATTGACTTCTTTCTAAATTTGAAAATATTGGCTAATTGTAAACCTTTGAAATCTCTAAATATTATCATCCATTTGATTCTATTATTTGGTGTTTTACAATAGCATGATACCTTTGCTGCTTGGATATTCACGAATTATAATGGACGATAACAAGTGATGTTTGTTATGGTTTGCTTGATGTTGTAATGTTGCTCACTTCATTGTTATGCTTGATGTGCGTATGGGAAAAATCAAAATAAAACAATTTAATATATTATTGTAATTTCATTGATATTTTTAAAAGAGAGGAAAGTTTATTGCTCAAACATTTTTAACGGCGGGCATTCATCTTTCGACTTTGACTAATCTCGAACTAATGACATGTGCGCAGTTCAGTATAAATAAGTTTTCAATAAATATTACTTTTTTCTATGTTCGTCCGCAAATTCTTTTATTTTATCGACCAGCTTGCCGGGTTCATCTACACGAGGAACCTGAAAATTGCCGATGAAAATGGTAAATTATACATAAAATAATATTACATATTGTATATTAACGGTCCTACCTCATAATTTTGACTTATATAAATTCCAGTATATATGCCAGCTCCAAATGTTATCTGAAATTAAAATACATACATTTATTTGGTAAGTGTTATCGCCCAGAAAAGCTTAAAAGCTGAATTACAGACCTATGCAAAATTAAATAAAGAAATAATGATAAATAATGATTTGCGGTATAATCGCTGAATTTCATTGACACATTTTATTTACGATTGGATTAAAGTCAAGAATGTCCACGGTAATTATGCAGGCAGAAGAAGATGCACAATTAATAACACTACGCCATAGATATACTCGTCTGCATATGCATATAAAATCATCAATAGCTTTAATAATGCTGGCTTAGTCAAAGTTGCTTCGAAAGATTTTCCATTATTGGCAAAGCTATATATAATAAATAAACATTATTTTGTGTAAAAACTTACCAAAAATCTCAACATGTCGGAAATATCAAACGCCACTTTGAAGAGTTTCTCAAAAACTGAGCACTAAACAAAAAACGAAAATAAAGCACAAGTGACAGCAACAACAAGTTGTTTCTCCCAAAAGCTCCACAGGAAAAATTTTTATTTTTGGAGAATATGACGGTTTTGTTATTTTCTAGGTTTGTTCTTATAGATTATGTAAACAGTTACTGGTTACTGGGTATTTTATTGCAACCAAAATAAAAAAAAAATAGCATATACTTCCCAATTACAACGCAGCTGGCAGCCAACAATGGTAAAAGGAAGTAGCGAAAGTTTCCATTCACAATACTTTCGCCACCTCCGAGGCGTACGCTCACAATAAAACCAACTTGACCGCCACTGGTGAGTTAGGGTGGCGAGGGATTAACGGGTTGCTCATAACAAAAAACGCCGTAATAATTATTTATAAATATTTTCAATTCTTGTTATATAATGATGATTAATGCTTTAAAACAAATATGATATTATACCACGTTGAGATAGGTAAATATGCGGCATATTTTTAAGCATTTTAATTAATTTATTAATGGACAAACTGAAAATTCAATTTAACTATGAGTGGACGGGAAGAAAAAACTATTGTAACAGAACTTGATATTATAAGTCATAATAATTTATATAACCAAACATGCAAAACTTATCACTGTCATACAAGTCATAATGATTCTTTAAAACAATAAAGCAACTTTATATTGTAGATATATCAAGAAATAGTTACTGAGTCGATGTTTTCTCTAATTAAAGTAGATTTATTTAATTACAATTTCTTTTTTACATTTTATATATTAGCATTTAGCGATTAAATTTGTACAATATTTTATTACAACTCTTAACATAAAATATTAAAATATTAGTTCTTAGTTCAGTTTTTAAATATATAGACTTATTAAATAAATTATATGTCGAAGTTCCAATAACTATAGAGCATGAAATACGGTAGATATTTTCCTTTCCTAAAAGGTAGTTTAAAATTAGCCTAAAACCACTTTTATGCAGTGCTCAATAGCAATACTGGCAACATCTTTGAATGTTTTTGACATGGACGGACTTATGTTTACAAAGGTGAGCTGTTTTTGAGTATTGTTTTTAATATAATTATTATCATTGTATAAATTTATAAAATTTGTCTCCAGGCTCGTTGAATAAGCATTTTGTGGACCCGTTATTTGACATGGTTGTTTAATTGCCCCTTACATTTTTCTGTGGTGAATATTTATTAATTTACCACAGTAAAAAGAGGCTTAAATATATATCTTAATTATTCTGAAATTTGCCAATAATAGTCCCTCTTTTTGAAATAGATATTAAAATAAACTGATTTTATTTTGAAAAGATGTTAAAGTTTTACATATAACCAATATTTTTCGGACAAGTTTTTCATAAATAAAAGTACATAGCAATATGCAACCATATTCCGGTCACAAGTCGACCATCTTGGATATCAGTAGAAACTCAACCCTTAGGCGGACTTGACTTTTCTTCATGGACACCTTTCAGCTGTTGCTTTGCTTACATCTGATCAGTTGATAGTTTCGTTACTCTGTCTTTACGATACAGCCAACAACTGAATACATACGAATGACAGTCTTTTAGGCGACGAATCTGTCATAATCTAAATATACTTTCTAAAATAAGCAGGGACAATTTTTATAAAGCAACGAGAAATATAAAAAATTGCAGAGAATTTCACAATAATAATTACTTTTATCAGTGTGTTTATACTCGCATAGTAATAGCAGTTATATATTGTTCAGGTATTATTTTACAATGTTCTTAAATTTGCGTCAATATCAAGGTTTCTTTCTTTCAAATAAATCAAAAATAAATAGTAGTTAAATTAAATAAAATGTTAATAAATTAAAATGTTAATAAATTAAAATGTTAATTAATTCATATTAAATGTTTATCTTAAAAATTTGTCACGGTATCAAAGCGTTAAATTATAAGAACGGTATAATTGGTTATCAAGAGTAAGGAAATCTATATTTTGAGTGGATAGCTTTTTCGAAAATTGATATGAACCAACGGTTGTTGTTATAGAACTTATATTTTTGTTTCTAGATAATAAAAAATTATAAAATAATTTCGCTTTTACATTTCATATACATACGTAAATCTAATATTTTTTACGTACAACATAAACATTTACTCCTGCAGCTCACTTCCAAATAGGTTATTAAAAATATTCTGGAGCTTTCTGGGCTTTCAAATGTAGAAATTAAAAGGATTAGAGAGAACATAAAATTAATGAATACTATATTTGTAGAGCGTATGCCCTTATTTACGATGTCATATAATGGTCATACTAATTTTAAGACGGGAATTTCTAACATACATATAATATTTATAATATTATAATAAAAAAAAGATGTAAGGTAAATGTAAAAAAAAAGCTAGTTGAAAGCTATATTCCATAAGTTAGGACTGTAGGAGATAAATATATAACAGTATATATTTTGTTCCAGAAATTTATATTTCGGAAACTATATATAACATATATAAAAATTATGCCGCACTTTTTATACGGTGTAAACTCTTAAGCTACTGAGCCGATTTTAGTAAAATTTAGTGTGTTTAGTTTTATCCAACTATAAAATTATGGTTGTTAATATCTCAATTATGTTAAAAGTAAAACAGTTCATCAATCAAAAAAAATATGTCTCTATAAACTAATTTTCATTAAAATGCCAAATGGAAAATTTCATTATCACGCCATTGACAAATACCTTTCAAAATTAAACCTCAAGTTCAATTTCGTGGATGCTTATGCCGGCAATAACGTTTTTCGCCATTATTCGTTAATAATATTATCACTGTATTGAAATCTATATCATATTCACAGCAACGCGTGGTCGGATCTACTAGTATTTATATAAATACGTTAATAAAAATCACGAACTTTTAAAAGCATTTGAGAAAGCTTTTTAATACGTTTTAGATATATGCATATGAATATTATTGCAAAAAATTATAATGCTATAAATCTAACACGCAACAAATATTGCAATTTCATGAACAGTTGAAAGCGCCGTTGCGTAAAAGCCAAATAAAGGAGAACAATAGAACATTTTAATGTTAATTAAATATTTATTATTGTATTGTTATTATATAGTGATTAAATTATAATTTATATTAAAAATCTATGCTTAGAATCGCGATGAAGTCGCTGCGTTTTTTTAATAAATTAGACGTACTTATGCTATTTACCATGTGAGTGTACACATAAATATTAATATACATATATAAATACATAATATAATATGTGTATTTATTTATAACAACCAACAGATTTGTAAGATACGTTGTAAATCGCTAAATCCGATTACTTGTTAACTTGTTGACTTGTATTATAAAGTCCCATGTGTCTTTCCAACGTAAATTGATCACCTCCCGCGCGCTCAGTTTTTGCATGCCATAGGTTAATGGTAAGAATTTAATAAAGACCCATATAACAGATATAAGCCAAATTAAAATACCAAGCCGATAGCTGCGTACTAACCAAATCCGCTGTGGGTGTAAAGTACCTTTAACGGTAAATTTACAATTAACATAACAGTGTAATCGTAGTAAATAGTCGATGTGCTCAAATACATAACATAACAGTAAGATTTTGAATAGGAAGGCAGGAAGATAGTTATGCAAAAACAGTGCACGATCCATTGTAAAATATGGTAAGTAATGTATAAAGTACGCAACTAAGAAGCTGTCGCCGACTTGTCGGAATCGGTGCCATTCGTTTTCTGGCAGATCGAAATGGAGGCGACGTCGTCGTAGTACATAGAATATATTCAGTAAGATATACAAAATCAGTGCTGTAGTGCCGGTGTACCAAATCATAATGTTGCCAAGTAAATGTATCTGACTGCTCGTTTTTGTGTCAATCCAATAAGCAATATTTTTATCTAACAATGGCCATTCGAGGGGCGAGGAGCTATACATGTGGGTATCTAGCTGTTTTGTGCTCCAAAGCATTTTCGTTTGCAATTCAAAGAATTTTGCTAAAAAACTTAGCTTCGTCTTTTTCGTTGGAATCATCTCAGCTTTAAGTAGTTGTCGTTCCCGTTCTCGCTGGTCTTGTGCTGTGTAAAGAATATGATTATTTATTATTTAAATTATCTTACATTATTTAGGTTGTATATGTATACATGGTAAGTAATTACTTTTTGTATAACGATGTTCTTCAACATTCCATATTGCGTCTTTGTGCTCCACGGTGCGATCCGCCACCACTTCATGTTGATTGAAACCCCATTCTGGAAGTTGACGCCCGCTATAACGTAACGCTGCACCCGTGGTATGATGGATTAGTCGCACTTCCGATTTAATGGCATGCCATATGTTTCCTTCCTACAAAAGTAATTTTTAACAAAACTCACACAATCTAATATTTTAATTCATAGATAAATTGAATTATCTGACCTTAGGAAAGTATTTTCTAAGCATACTTTATTATTTTCACTTATTTATTACCTACCGTCTCGCGGTTCAAAATTTCCACACGCCACAGTAACTCGCCAGGCATTTTAATTTCATAGTCGATATAACATGAGACTTCCTGACATTGTGGAGTCATGGGTGCGGCCACGTCATGAGAATTGAGCCCACGACTCGTGATTCCATGTACTAATTGAATAATATCTCCATGACGTATAATATCCAACTCATCCCCGACCACTAAATCTTCCCGTTGTGGACGCTTAATAATCCACCAGTTATTTACGTCTTTAAAGGAATAGCATGTGACTTGCTGTTGATGTGAAGAGCCACGCTTATCCCGATATCGTACTGGATATACATGGGCATGTGAATGTAACCAACATGTCCGACCATGTGTGTGACGCAGAGTTATCTGTGAACCATGAACCACTTTGAGTGGTTGACCTTTCGTAATCGAAGCTAATCCACCATCAAGAGAAGCTTGAAAGGCACTTGTCATTATGCTGTCATGTGGTCCAGCACGATACAATATTTGCAAATGAATGTAGAAAATGCTTATATACAACATGATTGGCACAATTGTGAATAAAATTACGCGGCCAATGGTTTCTAAAATAATATGGAGATCTGTAAGATGTAGAAATTAAATAGATGAAGAGTATAGTAGATAGCTTTAAGAACTTGCTTGAAAGCGTAGCATCGTAAAGTTTATCCCATAAAGATCGGCAAGAAAGGTAAGTTGTGAGACCATAGGTCAAAAAACCGGCATATTTTACACTCGTTGCAAAAGAGAAACACGATGCGGCCGCTAATCCAAATAGCAACCAAAGAGAGCTACCAAATCGACTTTCTTGAAAGCGCAACATGTAATACAGGCC